TCCTTCTCGGGGCCATCCAAAGCATTCAGAAGCTACAAACATTTCAATATATGAGAATCGGTATGATGTAATTAATTACTTTAGATCATATATGAGAATCGGTATGATGTAATTAATTACTTTAAATCATGTAGTAAAAATAAAAATGTGACAATCACTAGAATCTTTCTGTACCATACATTCCTCAAATTACTACACATAAAATGAAATAGCTTTCAGCAGCCATAAATTGTCCTGTTGAACGATGGACAAATGAAAAAGTTTATGCCTCACTCTCAAATATATCCTCTCTGGATACAGTCAAGATTATCATAGCCAAGTGGATGACTATATTTTTTAAAGTCCTTTGCAACTTCATAAAAAGCGAGAAAATAAGAAACTTTATATTGTATTTCGAATGAATCAGAATTACTGGAACTGAAACTTTGACCCTCCTCTATTTGAAAAAAAAGCAGTCGGATGAGATCACTTGCTGTTGTCTCCTTTCGACAAACTGAACAAGAAATGATTCCTTTTTGATAGTGATACTATAATATGGAATTATGAATCACTAAAAATAACATCGTCAACAAGTATTACTCTCTATAACATACTTGTAAATGATATCTCAATGTATTTCACGATCTCTACTCTCAAATCACTTTTCTATCTCGGATTACTCAACTATCATTTTTCTACCTGTTTACAAATTCTGAAAATCTATCTACCTGTATTTTGTCTCTCATTCCATCAATATTCTATTATTGGCATCTTGATGAATACCACTGGCAATAGGACAGATATTTATAATATTAGAGGAAATACATGCAATATCGAAATATATGCAATCATTGCAAATAAGCATCACTTCGTAATGTCTTAGGCATATATTGCAGACCAAATAACATAAGCTGACCCAAATCACAAATTGGAGAAAGTGAATATAATAGAAAAAGGGAATTTAAAATGATTTATCTTAAGTCATCGTATGATACAACACAGATGGAATGTGTGGCCACGGCATCCACAGCAAGCACATCCAAATAAACTTGGCACTGTGTCACGGCAGTTCCAGAAAATATCACTATCTCTCAGACGACAAAAATAGTAAAAAGTAATGCGGATTCAATATTCTCAAAGCTAAGTGATGCATCTTGCAGTATACATTTCATATATCGAATCAGTATGTTATTAAGTTTTTCATATCTACTTGAACGAAAAAAGATCCTAATAATTCCCAGGACTTCAACATCTCAGATATCACCTAGCAGAAAAACCAACGAAATGACTCAGGAGGATCAATCACTTTTCTGAATAGAAACCATAATAATCGTTCTAAAGGAAAACAATTGCAAATAGGACAAGAGCTCATTCCAAAACCAACCACTCTCTCCAAAACCAACCACTCTCTCTCGCACTTTCCTTGTACCCTGTCTATGCTCCCTTTTTGTCCCTTACAGTAGCTATTCCTTCTTTACAGATAGTAGAGAGAGAGAGAGAGAGATAGAGAAAGGATGAACGTATCCTTTCATTCCAGTACGTACAATCTCGTATCGTTGGATCATCGAAGATTTGCAATATTACGTGGCAAATTAGAATCATTCAGTTCATTTTATCCTTTGTTATGCAAATTGGGCGCAAATGGGTTTATGCAACATTCCCGCTACAATTAATAAATTGGTTCGTTCGTTTATTGATTGGTTTACCGCTCGGTTAATTTACTGATTTATGTGACCTTCCCAAGCGAATAAAATAATGGAAATGATTTTCAGATTGTTTGACTCATTGATTTCTTGATGGCTTTGCTGCTTTTTTCGATGTTTATTCAATTTTTGGTATAATTAGAATCTTTCTGGATGAAATAGCAAACTAAAAATCTCCATCGTCCGTTCTGAATTATATTGCTTTTTTCGAAAATATTCTTATAATTACAATTCAATGAGTTAAAACTGAAATTCGATTTAATGATTTTGACGTTTTTATTAAAAAAATTTAGTTACTCTTAAGATTACTTTAAAGTATTTTAAAATGATAACAATTTACGATTTTTGCATTTTTGCTGAAAGAATCATTTTTCGATACATTCGAATAAAAAAAAAGAACATTAGCCTAAACTAATTGGCATCAGACACAAAGATAACAATCTCAACGAATCATTATGCTATCAGATTCATTTTAAAAACTCACTTAATTCTAAATTATATTTATTATATTTTGTCACTCTTTGAAATGGTCAACATTGGTACTGTTCTGTTGAACTTGATAACATTATCAAATCTTGAGAGTAAACATACTTGGAACACCGGACTTTTCCAACCTATTTTTTTCCTTACTTGAAATTGCATTATCTTACATCCTAGTTTTAAGTTAAACTACCGAAGTCATTCTGATAAAAGCAGTTAGCATATATACATGTACTCCATCCGCTTCTTATAGATGATGATAATTACGTAATAATTGATAACTGGTGGTATTCCTGCAATATACTTTATAGATCGATTGTCTAATCACTGCTTGATTAAGATATGACTTCCGTTTTATATTTTTTGGAATTTCCTTTTTCTATCTGCAAGACACTTAACTCTCTTCTTAATAGTTATATCTAAGGAAATTTCACCTAAAATGAATGCTACCTATATTTCACATCTCACAGACAAGCGCTTCTATAGAAAACATTGAAATAAAATGGGTTAACAGTTGCATTCCCCGTATAATCTAAATGACAGTTTTCATGCATCGAGATTCTCCTTATACTATGAAATGACATTTGAAAATGTCATCGTAAGTCATTTGTAAAGCATTTCTAAAACCTCTTAATTTCGTCCCATTCTCTTCCACTCATAGAGTTGCAACTTTTGTTAACAAAGATGATTCTTTCCTCTTGTGAACTTTGATGTAAACTATTACAAATTATAGCACTTTTTTTCCATTTCCTCTAATCAAACTCCCACAAAATGTTTCTTTCTTTTCCGTTGGCATCCCACACAACTCACTGCATTGTGATCTGATCTACTTGTGATAAATTTTGTTGATAATACCATTTATAGCAGACAGTTGTGTCATTCATTTATTTCCTTTACCTGACAAATTCATTCAGATTAAACCAGACACATAGTGAAGGACAGTGCAGATAACAGTTAAATAGCAGTGTGTTTGTTATTCGATCATTATTATATCATACGTTTTAGTACTTCCCAGATAGCTCACTGTTTGTTATAAATAGAAAAAAGGATAAAATGGATCGTATAGGAGAGAAATCAGCTGTAATATGTTGCTCTCATCAATTACTAGCAACAACAGATACCTTAACCGTCAATACTAATAATAATAAATCTGCGAAGAGAGTTCATTTATTGAAAATAATGTCCAATCACATTATCGAATTAATGGTAATACGTCGGATATCATAACTTCCTCTTTTTGTTGGTATTGAATTCGATCTAAGAAATAATGTCATTACAGGATATCATCACCAATGTGTCGGTGATTGTTTCATTACTTAAACTGTGGAGGATGGAATAAAAATTAGGTTGATTGCTAGTTGCGGATATGATTTTTGAATATATCTACAAGAGGTGTGATTTAAAGAGTTAATGAAATCAACGTACTGACGCAATAATTTGATCATTCATCTCTTATATGTTTTCCTTGGTGCTTTGTCTATGATCACTTTCATATGCAATTAATTCTCTCTTTCAACCACCGTATTTTTATGTCGATAGCTTTTATTAGGAATTCATTTCAATTTCTGATTGCAGAGACAGTAATTTGTTGAATACATTATTTATTATAAGCATTGCTTTTTTTACTTCAGCTGGCGGTGTTGTAGCACATATTTTCGAGTTACTGGATTGATTGAGGAAGCCGGTTTTGATTATTCTATTTTCAGAAAAGAAAAATTCTTTTTCTAAATAGCTTTATTCATTTTCTGGAAAACTAAGGCACCGTTCTCAATTCTTATGTTCTTGAGTTTTTGCATTCCAAATCTCTTAATATTAGTTTTATCATAGGTGAGAGGAGAAAATGGTCACTGAGAAGTGGAAGAATCGAGAGCAGATCGCAGGAAAGGTACTATTTCTCAAGGGATTACACCATGCTTTTTCTTTTCGGATTTACTTTTAGTGTGCAGATTCATTTGTGGCCTTAGCTTTTGGCATGGTTTCTAGACTTATTTTGCTTTCAAAATGTTGATGTTTAATTCAATTTTCTCATACCGAATGATACTTAGTACAGTTTTTCATTTCAAATACGATCATATGATTGCCTTACTTCAAGTCCTGCGAATTGGGGCGCAAAAGTTCGACATCACTGTTGGAGCCTCTCTTCATTTTTTAAATCATTTCTTCTATCATTGTTTTAATATAACAAATTTCAATATCATCTTTATTTTCGGTTTTTTTCCGTATACAATATAGATAAGGTTCTACTCCCCACTCATAACATAGGTATGAGTCTTATTTGGATATCATGTAGATAGTAAAAACGCCCAAACTGTGCTATAACACCTATCACACGAAATCAAGCCAGAAGTTGACGACCATTGGCATTTTGATTTTTTAAACTTAAGAAATTGATTATAGATGCGAAGAAACATCACAATATACTATCAAGTCACAATTAGGGTAATCATTTGACAGGCAGGGAAACAGTTTTCATATTGCAATTGTCGGTCGCTCTTTCGGCGATGCATCGATTAATGGTGGAGGGGGTGGTTAGAGGAGCTGTGTGGAAGATTATTTGCACATCGAAGTGAAGGGAGGAGGTGGGCTGTTGATGACGGCGCTGAATAGGCAATGGCATCGATTTCTTGTCGTTCATATAGGTGTACTCGTTTGGTGTAACCGGTGGGGGGATAGCAGCGGCTTCTAATAATATATTGTTGGTCGTGAGTATGTTCCGTATTATAATTTTACTCGCAACTTTAGTGAATGTTTTCATCCTTGTATATATATATAAGGTTTTAGATCATTCAGACGTGAATTGCTAATATTCGATTGTGATCAGTGCAGTAGTGCATTGTCATGTATGGTTTAATTTCATTGGGGATTTTCGTGTTACTTCTGAATAGCGCACAGTCACAAGAGGAATGTTTTGCAGCGTGCGCCGAAACTCAGGAAAAGGTTGTTTGATTTTTTATATTTATTTTACTGATCTTCATAAAGGATGTCCGGTTGTATAATTAATTAATTAATTGTATAATTAAGGCATGATGACACATGCCACTCCACTTTAAATCATTGTAAGTGTTACATATTCAGCCAGGAAAAAACAGTTTCTTTTGAAAGCCAGAATTTATATGTGCCACTTATAGTCGCAATAAATATACATAATTTCAGATCCAAGCCGCGTGCAAGGAAGGGTGCCGTCTGCAAGTAATTCTTGCATTTGCATCCAACAGCGATGTCATATCAGCGAGAGAAGACTGTTACAATGGTTGTGCCAAGTCATATAGTGATGACGAAGAGAAGCAAGCTTGCTCATTTGGTTGCGACAAACAGCCAGATATGAAGAAGGTATGAACACTATGGCACATAATTAATATAAGATCCTTTAATTTAGTACTAAAACTAACTCTGCTGATGGAGGAAATGATATCGAAATAAAATGGTAAGTTTCTGGAACTGATAGTGGAATGCTTAAATTTATACATCTAAATTCAAATCCTTCATGTTGTGGTAGATTGTAATTTTGAAATAATTCAACGCTTTAAAATACCTTTTGTCATTTGGTATGTCCAGCGTCCTTTTTTGCAGATTCGTGTATCGATAACTAACAAGAGTCCTACATTTGAAGTGGCCCGTGGAGTAATGGAGAAGATGATGCATCGCATAAGCAATTCATTCCCATCACTGGGGTATGTCAGTTATGATTTTATTCGATATTCAGATATTGGCTGTTCAAATTTGTAGCTACCTAAATAGCTTTTCCATTGATAATATAAACTGATTCGAGGGCAGAATTGGAATAAAACGTGCAATTTAAGCCCCTCACCAGTAAACGATGTTTCTAAAATAAATGTATTGCTGCGAAACTTAAAGTAGATGCTTCAGGCTCAACTCTACACTCAACTTTCTATGAATAAATATGAAATTTCGGTGGTATGTAGAATGTGGTAATTACGAGGTGGTTGCAGATGTATATTTATTAGCCCACGACTCTTCCTCTGCTTGTCCCATTAAGCAAAAGGGTGTTTACTAGGGATGCCGAAACCGAGAAAACGAGAGAAAATGAAAAAGGAGGTCTTCCGACAGAGAAAAATTAGTCTTACGATATTGTAAAACAAAGGGGTTACGTTCATGTAGAGTAGATCCGATGTTGTGAGGTATAGAGTCGTAACTTTTTAAGCTTGAACATATAATAGGTCTCGTTCGGTTTTTGTTATGATAATGGCTAAATGTCCTTAAATTTGTTGACCGATTGAAAAACTGTTTTTTTGCAGGGAAATGGGATTGAATACTGTAGGGAGATGTTGATTATGTTTTGTATTTCCAGGGATTAATAAAAATTGCACCAAAATAAGTGATGAGAGAAGTCTGAATACTATTTTTAAGCGGTTTTTTTGTTCTGGACAATATTTTTTATTTTAAAGGTTTGGTCAAATTCTAGGGGATTTGGTTCAACTTCCTCGGAGGAACATGGTGATGGATTCTGGGAAGATCCACTTTGGCAGTTCCATTTTCGCATGCAGAATGAAATGGCGCGACTCCACCAAATTGCTCAGAATGTTCTTAATTTGCAACGTGCGCGAACTGTCATGCCAATTATTGCTAAAAACAGACCAGAAGGACACGAGAGGAATGCAGTGGAAGGTTTCTCCATTTGTTTATAGCGATATTCCAGTCTCAACTCTCTTTCAAATTACTTTTTAGGATTCCATGTTGGAAACAATGACAAGAATGGTGAAAAGATTATGGAGGTGAAGCCAGTAGAATCGAAAAGTAAGGAGCAACGGCTTCTAGGATATGAGGGCGAAAATCCAACTGTTATGGATGTTTCAGTTAGTTCCACAATTTTTTTCTTTTTACAAATCTCGTTTATGTGGATATAGGAACATGTTTGAAATTGCAGTTCATGTATTACTGTAATGTTACCAAAATATTTTCTGCAGGAATCGTCGCTTCTCTCTCGACTGGCATCACGAGCTCGTCGTCTTTCAGTACTTAGTCAATGGCTTGTTTGCGTTGCGCTTTTCCTTTGTTTTGTTTCAATGCTTTCTATCTCGGTGGCAATCTTGAAACAAATAAAGTCACAAAAATATCTTAATCTGAGGGTAAGGATTTTTGGTCATATCAGCGATTTTGTGATTAAGTTGTGAAACGATTTTTCCACCTTTGTATTCTGCGAGCTAAATTAATTTTAACTTGACTTCTGTGTCATCTTAAATTTTGCTACAACCTAATATGAAATATTTCAACGCTTCGTTGCAGAACATGCATTCAGTTATTTCGCCAACATTCACAGAACCTTTTGCGGCAAAGAAAATACCTTTGGAATCGACTGCTGTAGTAACTGATTATCCACTGATTCATGATTCTCCTCCGCCAGCTTATGATCAACTTTCAGTTCACAAGGAAAAATCTGAAAACGACACTAATAATTCTGATCCTAAAGTTTAAATATTATCCGGCGATTAGTTATTTATTTCTTCTTAATATTGTAATTGGTCTTTTTATTTCATGCAGTCTATTCCATTAGGCGCTCTCACTCAAGTTGACATTGATTTTCACTATCGAAATTGTAGATTGAAAGTTCTAACTGAAATTTTGGACTACCATTTCGCTATTGTTACTTCTCCCATTTCTACTTCCACTTTTTCGTGTCATTTAAGTTGTATTCGAAGAAGGAGAATGACTTAATGTGATTGCATGCTTAGTGAGTTAACATGGTTTTATACGAATGTACTTTTTGGAAAATGTTATATATATATATATGTGATTATAATCGATTAAACTAGTATCTTTTAACATACACATATTTTGAAAGAGCCTGCAATTTCACGTTTCGGGCGTTCCGACGTAGTTGCACAGATATTTTCTATATTTTGTTGGGTCATATGTATAGTGGCACTCATGTGTATTTTTCGTTTTTTCAATAAAACATTGGAAAATAACATATAGTATGTGTGACATGCACTATTGAAATGGGTTTGCAGTAGCTCGATTATGTAGATATTTATTTCACGAACGTGTGCAATATTATTTATCCTTTCTATACAGATACCAACTGTTATTAAATGCTATACAAATTTATTGTTCTATCTGTAATTTTTAAGAGTGAGATGAATCCAGTTTTGACAGAAAGGTGACATATGTGGTGTAGTTTAGGAGCATTATACGTTACAAACTGTAGTAAACCGTGTTGTGCAAATCTGCACTCGTTTTTAGTAGTCGTGTGGAATGGGAAATATGGAGTTGGGCATTTATTAACAGTTACAGTGGGGAAGAACTAGGTTTTGATTTTGCTGGAAGAAGTTTTGAAATTAAATGTTTTAATCGTCGATAGTTTTGAATCCTTGTCTCATTTAGGTGTCATTGATAAGGTTAACAAAGGACTAGAGTTTAACTTCATATGGTACGGTCTATTCAAATAGAGTAAAGATTTCTTATTAGTCATTTCTGGAAATAGTGAATATTAAAAAGATAGAGTCTACTAAAATTGGAACAATTCGTATAAATTTTAGTAAAGCAGCACTATTGTGTAGTTAGGTCCTTTGGTATGCAGAGTATCATAAGCTTAGATATTAGTTCAGTCTCGTGTTCATGTTCTTTAAAAAAGGAACACCGATTTGAGACATTCACCGACTGCAGCGCTTATACATTTGTATTCGTTTAATACGCATACTCCTAGTAAGATTATTTTTCTAGCTAAGACGGTATATCATTTTGATGCATGAAATGTCCAAGTTTCATTTATGCTTGGTTGATGATGATGGCGATGATAAGCTGAATATTAATAAAGCTTATGCAGAACGTTATGACAGTTGGCGGCATTTGGAGGAATTGCAAAAATGTTCGTTCCTACGACTTTATGGATCAGCAGTGCCAACCCAAATAATGTGAAAGGGAGTGGGATTAGAATTATAAACAAATTCTTCAAAATAGTTTGGCAAATGTTTTGGGATACAGATATTTAAGAGAGTTGAAAGTTGTCTTGTTATTTTGTAGCATCTCTGTAATATCTAACAAATTGAAATAGAACGTAGCTTTCTTGACAATTTGCAGTGAAAGATAGATATGGAGGCGGTACAGGAGATGACGATAGCACAAACAGTTCGTCTAGTGAAGAACCTGCTGTGAGTCTGTTACGATTTTTTATTGTAGATGCGGTCACAATTGCATACTGGATGGTAATGTATACAAAGCTGCGTTTTTCCAGGCGCTAGTTTATTTATAACGCTAATCGTGAAGTTTTTCATTTATTTTCGTTTTCCATAATTAATACCATTAACTTAGGTCATTACATAGTGACAATTTTTAATATGGGAAGAGATATAAATTTTAATATGTTTGCATATTACATTTGAATATTATAAAATAGGTAAGAATCCCAGGTGTGGTCAATGGAGCATGAGAAAGATTTCCTTCGTACATTGTCTGCTTTGAAAACCCGCGATCCAAGATTGTATTCGGGTCAAAAATTCTTCACTGCTGAGGATAAAGGGTTAGTAACTTTATTATTTGCGCTGCCAATATCACTTGGTACAAATCCCCTTGCTATTAGTAAGCTTCTATGATCTTTTACCATTCAAATTCAAGAAATTTAGAACCGTCAACACTAAATTATCTTCTAATGCTTGCACATGCTAGTTTTCCAGAAATATGTGTTTTTCAGGACATCAACTAATAACATTGTTAAATTCAAAAAAAAAGATGCCCCAATGTTTCTTAAAGATTACGAAAGAAAACTTATTCTGGAAAAAGGAGGGTAAGTTATTTTATTCATTTGTATGTTTCTATGAATATAGAAACACGAATAGTTTTTATTCCTTATAATAATTCTCAAAGTACAGTATTTTCTCAATTTCTCAGACAATTCGTAACATCTTTCCAAATCTTTCGTTTTTACTTAGTTGGAACGCAGCAAGAAAATTTGTGTTTTCACAAACTAATCTTATTTACTACTCTTCTGAATAACTATATGCTTCTACAGAGATATCACTGAAGATGAGGAAGAAAAGAAGACTTATAAGCCTGGCTATTACGAAGAACAGGAATTAATAAGACGAGAGTATATTTTTTATTTTTATTTAACGTTATTATTTATTGTGTCTTCCCGAATTGATTTATTTCTCAGTGTGAGATGGTTATATTTTTAATTTAATTTAAAATGTTGTAGACTAAAAGCTGCACTCGCTGAACAAAATGATGACACTGAGCCATTGCTACGACAACGTGTTAAGACAAAAGATGAAGTGGTAGATTATTGAATTTCATTGCACTTTTGTTATTACCGAAGAAAACTCATACACTATGAAAATAAATTAATGAGTAGGAGTAATTATTTCAGAAAAACGAAGAAGATCAGTATTACGAATGGCTGAAAGGACAAAGAGATGAAGATCTGCCCGGTGTAGAAGAACTGGTGCTTAATATTTCTGCTGTCGCTGATCTTAAAAATATTTTTAGCTTTCTCATAGTTACATTTTATTAGAATCCATGGTTGGATCTGTTGTAATATAGCAGCATAATTCAGTTAATTTCAGAAAGGGCTCAAAGAAGTATGGAATGATATGAATTTAGATGAAAGTGAGGAATTTCTACGTGATTATTTGTTGGACAAAAAATATGAAGACGATAATGGGTAAGCTTTTATTCGTGTGCCGGTTCATTTTTATAGATAGGATTAAATACGAATTTAAACGTCATCAATAATTATATTAAATCTACTGCTCATCATTTTCTCATAATTTACCATGCAATTTCAGTGTTCCGTCGTATGAAGAAATTGTGAACGTCGAAAAGGATGAGGAAGAGTTAGAAAGAGAGAATGAGTTTGAACGGAAATATAATTTTCGATACGAAGAACCTGATCAAGATTTTGTTAGTTATTGTTTGCATCTTTTCTCTTTGTTCAACTGAAGTTCAATTGTATTCCTAGGTAAATAAAAAAATTATATAACTATTTCTTTATATAAATTTGAGAGGAAAGTAATTGTAATCTTTGAAAAAATGTTAAAATACTATCTTTGAAATTTCTAACTTTTAAAATATTTATGTCAAGTACGAGTATTTCTAGCTTAAACACTATCCTCGGACAGTAAAGCAGTCTTTGCGGAAAAAGGATGAACGTCGGAAACAAAAAAGGGATGCATATAAAGAGCGTAAAAAATTGGAGAAACAGACGCGAAAAAATGAAATTAAAGAATTGAGAGCCTTAAAAAAGAAAGAAATTGAGGAGAAGTTGAAAAAACTGAAAATATTAGCTGGAGATGACGGCCTTCCACTTAATGTAGATGATTTGGAAGCAGATTTTGATCCTGCGGCTTACGATAAACGCATGAAAGTATGTTCATTGTATTCTTAAAAACTAATTGTCTAATTGTTTTATAACTTTGGTTTTCATTGCATATCAAGCTATTTTTGTCATTTCTTCATATTTGGTTTGCTTTTATAACTTCCCCGCGGTTTCAACATTTTATGATAACGACATGATTGTTTTTTATTGCTTTATTGTGTTAAATTTTTTTATTGTTATTATATTGCTTTATTTAATATTGTTTTATTTAGATTATTTCTGAGGAAGAAACCATTTTTAATTTTGTAGGAAGTTTTCAATTCTCAATATTATGAAAAAACTATGGAGGCGAGTGAAGAAAAGCCTGTTTTCTCTGATACTTCCGATATCTCTACCGACGATGTTAGTTTGAAATAAAATCGACTTTCTTCACTTTCATAGTACTATTTCGGAGTTTTATGCCAAGTATTGTTTGTTTCGCGTTTTTCACCAATTGTTCAGCTGCATTGCTTGTTCTTTTCTCTTCAGTCAGATTACGACACCTTCGAGGTGAATAAAGAAGAAAAAGAAAAGGAAATTGAGAATACCAGTAGCGATTGTGGAGCGTGTAATCCTGAAAAGAAACGAAGTCGGAAAAAGAGGAAGAGAAATTCGCGTTTTCTAAAAGCTGTTCTTAAAAAAAAACCCTTGTTTAATCCAGGTTGTTATTTAAGCACTAGTCGTTTGTATTTTGCAATTTTGTTTTTATACTGTTTATAATTTGCTCTTTGCAGAAGAGAAATCGTTTGAAGAATATTTTAACGAATACTATGCACTTGAATATGAGGATATAATTGGTGATGGTTTAATAACTAAATTTAAATATCGCAATGTGCCAGCTAATGATTTTGGAATAACAATTGATGAGGTAACGTACTTTACACTTTCATTTCGTCGTGTTTTGTAATAGTATGTATCGATTAATTGTATTTTATTGTTAAACGCGTATTCGTCGCCAAAGTTTAGATGTCGGAATATGTGAAAATAAATCACTGTTATATGGTTTTGGATACGCTATATTAAAGATATCTTTGATGTGTGAAAAGAATGGCAATTTGATGTTACTAAAAAGGCTATTTTTTTTTAGTTATTAAGTGCGGATGATCGACAGTTAAACGCTTGGGTATCGTTAAAAAAAGTTACAGCCTACCGTTCAGAAACTGAAGAACTGTATGATATTAAAGCGTACAAAAAGAAAGCACTGAACTTTTTAAGGAAAAAAAAAATTTTCAGCACCGATTTTGGAGGGTAAGCATTTATTTGATATTTATCATATGAGAGAAGAGAATTGGGTTATAACGAATTGAAATTAATATTCATGTATCCATTACTATGAATTCTAAAATTTAAGTGTATTTTAGTTTCTAGTCACTTGTAATTGAAAAGACATTTCTGTTCCTTGTAAGGGTATGAATGAAATGAATATTAATTGTCGAATTATTTTAACCCTTTTACGAAATCGAATTCCAGAAAAAACTCTAAAGAATTAGCTGAAAACAATAACGATGCTAATGATATGGAACACATGTGTCAAGTGGATAAAGCACCAATTAAAAAAAAGATGAGAACAAAGAAAAACAGTCAAAAATTTCCTGAAGATGTGAAATCGAGCGAACAAGAACAAAATAGCACTTTGGCGCAACAAGTGAGTTATGAAGTTCCTTAGGATGATTAATTTCATAGAAAGTTTATCAATTTTCCAACAATACATGATACCATATGTTTCGAAATACTTTGTATTAACATTATTCAGCACAAAAATGGGTTGTCCAATAGACGACAATTTTCAATAAATCAAATTTTTCCTAAGCTCCTAAAAAAAAATTTTATTGAACTTTGAAATGTAACTGAGGTTGAGAAATTGAAAATGTAAAATAAGAATTAAGGACGATTTTTTAGAAAATCCGACTGGTAAAGCGTTTAAAAAATGCACCTAGTCGTAAGAAGAATCACAGCACATTTGAACAATTTACTTCAACAGTTGACGTTGACGATGACAGACTTCGTGCTTATGGCATTAATCCAAGGAAATATAAGAATAAGTTATTTCATCAAGAAAACTGTGCACGTGAGAGTGTTAAGAGGCATCAGTAGCTTCATTATCTTTCTCATTTTTCACTTGTTTCTTAGTTTCCAAAAAGCATAAAATATTGTTTTTCAGTGTTGCAGTTTCCAATCATGTCATATGTGCAAAATTTCGATGTCTTCATCAGGAGTTTTTGTCTCATTCGCAGTATTTCGTTTATACATAGTCAAAGTTAGGTTTTTGAGAGATCTCTCTTTCGATTGATTTGGAGGGATCCCTTCAGTTAATTTGTAGAATCACAAATTTTAAAATTACAGAAAAACCAGAGCAGAAATATACTAACATATTCCACCACTCATAGTAGCAAATTCCTACCTATCCGGAGGTAATACAACAGATCTGGAACTTTTGTTTGCCAACGAAGCCTATCGTAAAACAGCAGTATAAACAAATTGATTGGTGTTTATAATCAAACGAAATATCCCAATTACAAGGAAGATATTACACTTCGGCAGATCTCAAATGCATTGCATCGATAAACATTATGATATGATGGCCACATCGGTTTATGTAAAAGTCATTTTTTTCTGTCTCGACATTATCTCTCCGTTTGAGATATAGAAAGACACCAAACAACGTGACAAATCGTAACAATCTCTCTGTTGTCACGTTGTTTGGTGTCTTCCTATATCGCAAATGGAGAAATGATAATCATCGAAAAAAAATTCCAACCTAAAATTGAAATAACGCGTACAGACTGAATTGCGTTTCTGAAGTAAGTCACGTATACGAGTTGGACTTAAGGGGTAATTGAAGTTACACGAGTTAAAATCTAAATTTATTGGAATTCATAAAAAAGGGACTTCATGTTTGACTTGAAATTACGTATATGGGTTGAATTTGCCCGAACAACTTCCAAGGAAAAGAAACCAACCAAATATAATGTTAGGGTGGGACTTCAGCCTTAGTTGTAATCAAAAAATATGGATTATGCGCCTATTTATGTAAAATAAATTAAAATAAATTTATCTAAAATAAATTTATTTATGTAAAGCAAAATAAAGCACATTTGGAATTAGGAGATTTTGATGAGAGAATCTAGCAGAATCGCAAAAAATATGAAGGAATGGGAATTTATTTCTATGCAAACTGAGCTCAACGCGGAGTCGACACAGTCAAGAGCATATTTTTGGGGATATTCATACCCTTTCCAAGTTTTTTTTTTTAATTTAATTATAACCTATGGAAGTTGATACCCGAAAACTTCCAAGATTAGGACGACCAAAAGATAGTTCATCTATTCACGCTGCCGTTGCATCGTGTTCGAATACCACTTTACCGTATTCGACTTCAGCTGCAGCTGCACAAACGCTTTCATGCTCAGGTTCCATTTTAAATGATGGGCCAACAATGCACGATAAGTCAGCAAGCATCACCTTTGCATTATCGTTATCACCAATACAATACTATAGCTAAAGGCCTGGTATTAGACGGTGTTTTCGAGTTCAGGATATATTAAAACAGGAGATTTGTGCTTTGAAAGCACGACTAATGAAGAACGTTCTCAAAACGTCCATGGTTGTCGGGAATTATTTGTAAACTTCTATTGTCACTGTGTTTTCTATTTCTAACTCACCTGGTATGCCAACTGATCCATTTCAGAGTCATTCAAATCCGTGAATTTCCGACAACCGTTGAGTATTAGCAACATGATAAAACCACTGGTGATATATCAATACTTTGAAATTATGGAAAGAACGCTTAGTAATGTCGGGCTGTTGTCAAAGAGAAAAAGTCTTCAATCAAAGATAAAGATATGCGGAGGTGTGGAAACTACGGCTACTACAGCAAAGCGCTGACGGAAAGTCTTATCTCTTAATCTCTTAATAATGTCACAACTGACTACTTATGCTTTAACTTAAATATTGCTGCCACAATATGATGGTAATGTAAACAGAATACGGACCCAGCAAATTAAGAATTTGTTTTATTAACATTAATTAAAAAGAATAAACAGTTCAAAGAAATGGAACTAACAATTTCAGTAGAGAAAACGTTAAGAAAAGTTCAATAATATATAATTAAAAAGTTCAGCATGAAATACCGAAGACGAAAAGATTACTCAACAAAAGGCACATAATAAATAAAGAAATGTCCCCATTTGATCAAGAAATAAATTTTACTGGATTTAAATGATAAATAAAAAAACAATGATAGTAAATAAAATAACAAAATCTTTATCAAAGAAAAGCAATCATCCAAATTTGGCAGAACAGTAAGAAAAATTGCATGATCATTGCAAAACGTGACTGAATATTATTCGAAACTGAAAGCACGACTGTCACAACTGATACAGAATATGTTCAAAAAATGAACAACTACAATTTCACGCACCACGCATAAATATCGAAAAGAAAAACCCCTTACAGTATCCATCGCTTTAAACTTTAACTCTAGTCAGGCTGCTGATAAAGACCAAGGAAGCGATATTAAAATAAGACAAATAAGAACGTGAAAATCATAACAACTTTGGAATTTGGAAAAAGAGGGTTATATATAGCCTATTTACATCGCTTTAGGCAACTATGTATATATACTCCAGAATTAAAAAAGAAAAAATTTTACCAAAAACTTGCTGCCTATCTTAGTCCCAAAACTTGCATTTCAGTTTATTGGAAAACTCTGCAGACATCATCGGAAGTAATTTTCCGAACCATCATTCGTGATCTCCTCCGTCACTGCCGCTCGATGTTGAACCATTGAAACATTTCATTGGCAACATTTCTGGTGATAACATTATGTAAGCGAGTGTTAAGAATACTGCACATTGCTTATAATTAGAACCACTACTATAATTAAAGCCTCCGAAAACGCACTGTATTCATATGTGATTCAAAAATAAACACCTTTACAAAACTATTACTTGAAATCTGATGTGTATTAAGCGTTTTGAATAGCAATTGGCTAGCTAAAATTATTAACACTCATATCTTGATGATAATTTAGGCACCCACATATATGTAGGACATGTGCTTAGTGGATGGGCCAAGTTAGAACTTGAAGGACTGTAAAACATAAAACAATACTTACTGCTCAGTTTTGAAATTATTGCGTCCTCTTTTAGCGAGATCAGCAGCAGCATAAAGATGCGCCGGTAGAGATATCGGTGAAGTGACAATGCCATGAGCATAGCAAAGAGCATTTGTAATACCTTCTAATTCATCCAACCGTGGCACGTACAGGACGTGCAGTACTCTGCATAAGGGTAAATTGAATTATTCAAGAATATCAGTTAATTATTAAATTACCATCCGTAAAAAGAACCATTCATCAAAATAGATGTTAAGCGAGTAATGCTCACATGCAATATGACGTCAACATTTGAATTATTGATAGTAATTTACAAAAACAAAATTTACAAACCATGATAGACCTGTGAGCTACAATAATGAATTCCGTTTGAGTTGGATGAACAATATCTGCATGTATAATAGCGCCAGGTGAGACATTTTGCTGTGAGGCACTTCCCTGCTGTATATGCTCCGGATAAATGAGATAATTTGGATGTGCTTGCATGACAAGAATTGTGAGACGAATGAATTCCGCACGACCATTAGCTGCTGCGATAAAAGCTTCGCGAAACTGTTTCCCTTCCTAATTTATAATCTGCAATAAATCTAATCGACAAGCAAATATACAAAATAAATAAAACACTGTCTATTTATGTTTTCCCCCACCTTATAAACCGATGCTCGAAAAAAAACCACTGTTAAAAGTTGCAGAAATCTCAAATTGTCTCTTTCTTCCCTTTAATGCTTGATGATATCATCATCAACTTCTTAAAAGTTCACTACTAACTGCTTTCTCAACACGCTCTTTTAAGAACTTGGCAATATAAATACGTGGATCTTGCATTCAGTATTCACCTTGCATTGCAAATGGTTCACCACATGAATGAGTAAGTCATCTGAAAAATTATAGTATAATTAACGCTAGTATTTTTTTTGCATAACGAAAGAAATAAAGAAATAATATCACAATCCAACAATAATTTGATCTGATAGAGTATTAAGATGATAAAAACTTCTGCAAAGAAAAATATTAAAATAAAAAAGCGTAGTCTTACAGCGACAATAGTTGGTTCGCTGGGTGGGGTGTGAGCCTATTGCTCATAAAGTGATTGTGGCGCTGCATGTGACATATAGAGGCCGAAAAACATTCTAGTATGTCCATTTTCAAAACATCTAGAAATAAAAAAACCCGAAGATACAATTAGAGCCATCGTCTTTTTCGTCAAACTTTTTTAAGTTATTTACTCACAATTCATAATCATGTCAAAAAATTAAAGACAAACTCTGCAGAGCGTTGGTGGATAGCACAGTGAAACATAAAACCAATTCAACAACGAGGAGCTTTTGCAGGTTTTAAGAAAATTTTGTTCTGCAAACCACGAGGTACTGAAAGACGCCAATCAAGATCCCCATTTGGCTTTGGTTCAACTACGCCATTCTCGCAAACAATTGCTGGAGGGAACTGTATAGTAGCTTCTCCTGCACACGGCGCCTTAATGATATGGATCTGTAATAACAAACTGAAACAAAAACAAAATAATTAAGACTCTCATTATGCGAAATTACAAGCCATTAGCTTAAACAGAAAAATTAAAACGTTGCTTCCTTAATTTTATCCGTACTCAAAATACGATAAATCATTTTCCAGGATAGGAAAGAAAGAGCAGCTAAGGATGAAAGAACAAGACAGAATATCCAGAAACAATGGCAATAATAACTTTCGCATATACATATATATTATAATAACACTAACTCCCAAGCTACGAAGATATGGATTTTCATCAACAATTTGTGCTCGGCAACGTCGACGTTCATTTTCTTCTTTCAAGTTCATGGGTAAAAGGGACAATTTTGTATGAGGCTATCAACCTAAAAACGATCAAAACTATGACAGTATAAGAGGTGACTGACTAGTTTACCAGAACATATACAAAGTGTCTAAATTTCAAAACTCCAACTATGGAACCATATAAAAAATCCAGCTCTATGATATATCTAAAACTAACGATATAAAACAAATAATTATTAAATTCTTAATATATAATAAACACGTTCAGTAGAAAAAGATGCTCTAGTACTAGAACTTAGTTAGGTGGTTTTTAAAAAATAGAGGGAAAGGCAAACACTGGCTCGAAAACTTTAAAAAGTCATCTTCTAAAAGTCAGGTCAGAACAAGATATACGACAGATCAGAACAATCTATGTCAGCACTTGAAAGTTAGTTTGAAACAGATTTAAATAGTGTGATCATTAGTGCAATTTGAAAAATGAAATATCCACTAATTCTGGTGCCTGTTTTTTAGCTTCAACACCCTGTCCTCCCACAACTTCGAGGAACTCCATCGGATGAAAACTGTTGCGCGGACGTTTGTCTTTGCCACCCACACGTCGCTCAATTACACACGGCAAACCCGGATAGCGTAACCTTCGCTGGTATTTATACAATATGTAGTCAGCTATCGTTGTATCCTGATTGTTAATTAGAATAACTAATTTGAAATAAGTAAAAATAGATCACAAACAATTAATAGATATTTATGATTCTATAAGCGGATATTCTCATAATACTTAAAAAATCCAACAGGATTGCAGAAATCAATAGAATAGTCTCAAAAAGATTCCCTAACCTTACATATTGTATAAATACCAGTGGAGATTACGCTATCCAGGTTTGTCGTGCATAATTGAGCGACGTGTGGGTGGCAAAGACAAATTTTTTTGAGACATTAGTCTTTTATGTTAAAGTTTTCGCATTGAAAATATAAAATTATTGCTAATTAAATAAAGATTAAAGCAGAAATAACAAAAATTTTAATAAATTAAACGAAATGATGTAATATGATACACTTGCCCGCAGCTGCAGCTGCCATTCCAAAAATGCAAAAAAATCGCTGAGTTTCTAAATGTGTTGTGTGCACGACAAGATCTAAAATTCCAACTGTTAATAAATTTGAGTTTTCATAATACAACTTGATAATTCTAATGATAGAACCGGCAACAACAAACTTAAACATGCGATTAAAGATACCCTTCAGTTGCCGAGCAACTCGAGACCTTAATCTAGCATCTTCCATAAGCACCAATCAACGAAGTTCCATCAACGGTTGCTCTTTGAAAAACGCTGCTTTTTTTGCTAAAAAATTTAAATACAAGAAGTCATGAAATTTCTCTTTCTTACCAGACAAAAATTATGGAACTACTTCAGCTCAAATAAAGGAGAAAAAACATCGCATTAAAAAAAAAAATTTTACCATCAATTTGCACGATAGGCGCCGCTTGTTTCCATGAATTACCAACAAAACGTACGTTCTTTTCCATACCTGCGCTCAAAACTTTGCCTACACTGACCCCAATATCATGCATACAAAGGAGATCATTCGCCTTATTGTGAACGGTTAAATGACTCTGTATAAAATCATGAAGCTTATGATTACAAAGTATGGTAATCCTTGTAATATCTTTCATCTGAAATAAGCCAAACTTTGCATGAACTAAGAGACTATGATTATTAAAGAAATGAACAGAGAAATTAACATACTCATGAAACATCATTTGTGTAGTTCTATTTCCAAAAATTGCTGAAGAGATCGATTTCGAGCATACAAGTCCGCACAAATAGCTGTAGTATCATGCAAGCTGATTTCTCTACATGGCAACAATCAAGCAACCAATCCAATAATCTGCTTACCCAAATACTCTCTTGTTTTCGGGGACAGCACTCCCTTATGAATAAAATTACTTCAACCGAGGAAATTTTCCATGTCGGTATTTAAATATGGAACAGGATACAAAGAAGCATGAAAAAATTCACGTAACATTTAACTGAGTACGAATTAAAGACAATAAAGTGGAAGATACACGAATGCTGATTGTTCAGGGCTTTCAAAATAAAACCGAAAAACAGCTCCCAAACAACTTAACTATAAAGGTCAAACGTTGTTATTAATATTCGGTCACCTATCTCTGCAGGCCTTTGGATTAAGCACAGGATGATAGAGCCAAAGATTAGTTCCAAACATTTTGCTCTGATTAGAAAGCATACCAGAAAAGAGTCATAAAAAAAAACACACGACACTGATCTGATCAGGAACCCTTTTGAATTCCTTTTTACCTTCGGAGCAATCAAAAAGTTCATTTACAGAATAGAAATTGATTCCATAATCATAAAAATACTTTTTTAAATCGCTATTAAAAAAATCTTCATAGTTATTCAGTATCTGCTGATAAATAAACCAAAGAACTTTGTGGCGAAGAGTAATAGCCACACTGAAATAAATTAAACAAGACAATGCGAAATAAATGAAGTATGATGAACACATGCTGGAAAATAAAGCTAAACGCATAAGTACGAAGCACCGACAAACGAAAGCCTACTCATTTTTCGGACCGCGATGAAGTTCTTTTTCTTCTCCATCACTTTTTATGCCATAGATTTTCAGCTCAAACTTATATACTTTTTCATTAGCTTTTGATGTGTCCAGTCGTAACCGTTGACACAAACGCGAAATCTGTCTGCATGGCTGTAACGGTATGTCTGATGAGGCTTCGCTAAAATGTGTCGCGGATTTTTAATAAATAGAATATTCATCAAATGAAAGTTTGTATAAATTTTGTATAAATTCAAGAAGATATTAAAAAGAAATGAGTAAGAGAAAAATAAATATTTGTTCGATCCATTGAAAAGCATGTGTTTCTCTTTTTAGTGGCAATTAAATTATTGCCCTTTTTGATGACGAAAATTACAAAACTTTCAATAAATTATAAAAGAATGGGACCACATACCTGGAATAGTAACATCAATCATTTCTTTCATCATATTTCTGCCCATATTAATCTCAGTTGAATCTATTTTTTGAAAAAGGAATCAGATGAATATACCAAACTATGATGTGTTCTATAAATTTCATGTCATACTTTATCTCATTCTAATTTGAACACTTCCGTTCACGATAAACCTTGATGTACTTTGAATCAAACTATTAAAGTGTAAAAGTGTAAAACAAAGGATATCGACTTGCAACAGACAGTTAATTTGAACCGATTAGTGCTGGCCTCAATCCGGACAGAGAATATTGAAGAAACAATCCTGTAACAATAATAATAGCAGCAACGAACTATGAACCGGTTGTTTAAAAGTAAACAAAAGAGCTCTCTTAACAGTGACATTAACAGCGAGATTAATGGTCATACAGTATCCACTAGTCATAAGGGCAAGAAACCATTACAATAAATATCTCAGTCCAATGGTGACATCAACATCCATCCATCTATCCATCCATCTATCATCCACTAATTAACAATGCACAAAAGCATGCCATTACTTCCAACGATGACATGCATTTTGCAAAGATGTATTGTCTGATCTGCGTATCTTGCTCAAAGCTGTTTTTTAGATTTGCACGTAACCATTACAGAGAAGCGACTCATAAAGGAATGATATCGCTACAGGATCGATGTGTTCGAATGCAAATGTCCGTATCTTAATTAGTTTCGATACATTGCTGATTACTTTTAAATAATCCCATTAATTTACATAAATTTCAACATTAATAGAAAATAAAAATTTCTTCCTATGACGCATCCCAAAACAATATACAATATCTTCTGACTTTCTAACATCCTATCCCTCTTACGCTTGTAAAACAAGTGAATTTTCACGGTTTAAAAACCAGAATTGGGAAATAATGGTTATCAAATATTTCCACGCTATAGAATTGCTCTTAATTAAGTGCCTTGCTTTCCATAAGAACTGACTTCAGGAGCATGCTTCCACAATGAGTCAGTGATAATATGCTCACCAACAAAAAAAGAAACCTTTTCATTTTTTATCACTTCAGAACCATTTATTGCAATGAATTCTATAATAACTATTCTTTTTTTCCCTTTCTATTGCACAGTTATTGATGTCCATATTTGTACTACAACAATTGGCAATGTTGTAAGTAGTGATGAGCACTAAATGATACATCCATCCGAATTATAGGCAACCGTGATACTCGACTTCAATGTGTGTATTAACTCATTCATCATCCTGGACCACAATTTTATTGGGTGAAATATAACTGTTATGAGAACTATAATTCCTTCCTCTATGTAAGCGATATTTATAATTATGTTGAGCAAATGCATGATTTATGGTCCTTCCATTCTTTTAATTTTGCTGCGATAGACATGGTTAAACAGTCCTCACAGGTAACATTCACTTTGAAAACAATTTCGAAAGTATTTCACCATTCTTGTAGATGCAATAAGGTCAACATTCTAGTCACTCCAGACCAATCTCATCATCATATCATCCAGCTATGTTATACAATTCTGAATTTAATAAAGAGCAAATCAAGCACAGACTACATTCTACATAATATTGTAACTGATTTGAAAACCATAGATTTCTATCAATATATTTTTCGAGCTGGCAAATCTAATTATTATGCACCTACGAAAGGATAACATTTTCGATAGAATATAATTAATCTTATACTTTAGAGAGAAGATAAAGTACAATTAATCTTATACTTTAGATAGAAAATACACGTGGAGAAAACGTTAACTGATAAAATCGGCATGTGACACCAAGCATTAATATTTGCGAATATAGTAATGTCAACAAATTCTTGTAAAAAAAAAACTCAGGACCTCTAATTTATAAGTACTTTATTCACTTCCATCATAAAGAGCCGAACAATATACGAAAAGTACCGAGAAATGCTAATTGGTTATTTTATAACTATCTCAAATTTCAACGATTTCCTGAAAGTCTTATCATCTTCATTTTACTATCGCAGAAATAATCTTAAATAGCCTTAAATTGTTGAGTATTTTGGTAATTGCTGGACAATAAAAGGTATCACTAATCGAAATATTCTATTGACCGTCAAAAAAGTTTGCTGGTGATAGTGATATGCTAATCTTCAGTTTTTAAAATTAATATCAACAACAATATTTTTATAAAATCAACTAATGATCGAACTGGGATTACTGAAGAGATGTCGTGGAGTGTTGAAAGCGGCTTTCAAAGGGACTGGAGAAGACGTTGACATCTTGCCGAACGACTTCCTTAAAGCATTTAAACAGCTTGATTTCTCAACAAATGACCGAGCTGAGGTATCTGGAAAATACTCATTGTAGGGTTTCGAACCAGACTTTTAAAAACAAGCAATCTAACTCTATTAACAAAAATTTGATTACGCTTCAAGTTTCGAGGCTACGAAAAAAAAGGTTTGTGATTTTTATTTTAACTATCATTAAACCTTTCTTAAACGCTCAAAAACACGAAACAGCATATGGAGAAATAGTAAAATACCGTACCAAAGTGATGAATATGTGCAATAAGAATGCCACATTTCACAAGAAATAAATTTTGCCTATTAATTCGCATCAAATGATTTAGCACGTCGGCATTACATGATAACAGTCTAAGAACCTGCAAAAGCGGAAAGTGGTAAATACAGCATATTTCATCACCGCCTTTCGAGTTCATTCTATTTTACAATCTTCATAATCCATTCGGTTCAATAAAAATTCTTCATTTACTCAATACTTACATAGTTAGGTTATCCCTTAATTTTTTCCTTGGCATACTTTATACAAAAATTTCATGATAACATTAAATATTTACCTGAATTGAGACTCTTTTCCAATGAGAATTCGAACATAACGCAATACAAAGATACACTACGTTTGCAACATAATTCATATACAGTGATGGAACGCTGCGAGCCCTACAATTATTTCATATCAACAATGGTTATTGCACTTTTTGTAATACAAAATGGTCCAAATTTATCAAGATGAGGATTTCATAGATAAGGACATCCGAAAGAGAATATAAATTAGAACATTGCAATAACAATTTTATACAACTAACAACTATATAAAGAAATTACTTCAGGTCAAAATTAGATGCAAGAAACAAATCTTTCGGTGGATTTGACCATAGAGGGATGTTTGCTAACACTTGCAAAGCATTAACATCATGTAGACCATTCCAACCGCAGCTAGTAAGTCCAAGCCGAATAAATAAAGTCTACAAATCTATTGGATTAATAATAACTGATCGCAATTTAACAAATTTTAATTATTTATAAATATAAATACACATAAACTCCTTTCTACAAACAATTTGGTTTTTACCATATCTTTTGGTAAAAAAAAAACTGTCCAATCGTTAACTTTTTATTCATGAATTGAAACAAGAAAAACTCTAACGCAAAAAAAAATCAAGGCTTAATATATGCAAAATCTCCTGAACTTCTGTTCAGTGCTCCGAGAAATTTGTTAAATAAAAAGTAAACGATATACTGAATTTCAAAACGTAATACTGAACCTACCAACACAATATTGCAATGTTCCAAAGAACGAATATCATTAATCTCGGATCCACTTAAATTAACATCCGCCACTGATTCCAGAACATATCGTAACATACCAGTACGAAGGAATTCAAATGCTAGCGACTGAGATCCCAGCGCATCTTCACGCAGTATTTGTGCGAGACAAAATAATGCCACGAACTAAAATTTCGCAAACGGTTTCGAATATATATGAGGACGAAAAGATAAAAGTTTTTTTTAACTCCATTAGCTTTTATCAAAAAAAGGCCATGAATGTCATTGTTTCTTTTAGTCATCATCCCCGCTCCATAACTAAAAGAACCAGAGACCAATTAAGGAAGAAACGTCTACGATAGACAGAAAAATGTAAAATTGCGTAAATCTCAATAGGCAATAAAATTTTCAAAAATATAAAAACCTATATATTATTAATATCAATGGTACCAATAATGATACCTATTGTTTTCTGCTTCTATACTACAAAGATTAGAAAAAACAATGGCAAGAAAATACAACGAGTAAAGAAGTGTTTTCCGAAAATTTAGTAGATTTATGATTAATTTCGAATTTATCTTCTATTTTTTCTTACTCTCTTTTCTTTTAGTTGATAATACGTAGTGAAGGAATTAATTTCTTTCCAAAAGTCCTAGCATATAGAAACTTGCAACTATGTCGCTTTGGCCTATTGATCTGAGACACTTACTGCTGTTCAAATATTGTTTGTTTACTTGTTTCATCTTGGAACACATATAATGCTATTCTTTTTTCTTTACTTGTTCCATTTTAGAACGCATAAAATCCCACTTCTTTTGGCTATCTCTAAGCCTATTCCTAACTTCACTGCTACTCAAAAGAATGACGAAGACATCATCTCATTAACTCTCCTTACCACATCTGATAAGGATTAAGGTAAATCCGTCAACGCATCCTCTGAATAAAAAAAGAAAAATATCGAAGACTTACATATTCGGTAGTAAAACAACTGTTAAATCAGCAAAAATAGAACGAAAGTATATTTTTCGAAAAATTAGCTTGAACAAAATTAATTTCAATGATTCAGTGAGATATTTTTTTTGCTTAACAAATTGCATACACTAATCTCATATTTCAAAGTAAAAAAAAATTTCAAGATCCAATTATGAATAACTTACTCTTAGTGCTGGAGGTGAGTCACAAATATCTTTGGACAGAAGCGAAATTAGTTCATGTCCATATTTTGTGAATATAGTTCGCAAAATATCCTGCTGCGCAACGTTCAAGGCTGTTGAACCAAACAAAAAGTCATCACCACAGTGAGAAACATCTTCTTCCTTTTCCGAAACAAGTGCTTCAGTTGAATAATTCAAAATAAGTGAAATGCAAGCATATAAATCTAGCTTCGTTTGCAGCGATCGTTTACCTGAAAGACTTCTAGGGTTTAAAATTACAGGGACACAGATTTTCCATAATAAATTAAAAAGCTTCATATATAAATAAAGCACAAAATAAAGAAGCAAATATACCTGGCTGTATCAGAAATCGGATCAAAGCATCAGCAACATCAGTGATAGCGACTCTAAACGCAGCAATCTCCTCTTTCAAACTCTTTAGCAATGTACAAATCGAAGCAGTCAGTCTAAAGAAAATTTTGTAAATTTTAAAGGAATATATGACTAATCTATAATATCATGGGCTTAAAATACGGATAATCACAATAATAATAACATGCATGTCAACCTCAGAAGACATTGTGAAACTGCTGAAGAAAGTTTTGCGTCCATGTATGTATCCGAAGCATAGTTTAATAAAAGATATAATGCATCTGAGAGATACTGGTATTGAACATCTGAAAATTATTCACATCTATAATTCTCCCGCAATTCGCACGACCAAATTCTACCTTAATATCTCCTAACATGCGAAATTATTCCAATTTCGTACTGAAGAAATCATATTTCAATCACGACGGCATAAACTGTAAATGGAAAAACTTGCCGAGAGCAAGAAACGGAACCGGACAGAATATGGCCAGCACATTTACAAATGATAGCCAACCAGAGAGAAGCTGTCGCAATGACGCTTCTCCATTTTTTACAAGATTATAATTTGTGCAATACTGAAGCAATTGCTTAGTGTCCTGTAAACAAAGCAGTGAAAACGAAATTTTCTAAAAGCAAAGTACATTCCCTTTTTGCTGGAATCATTACATAGTTATAAAAACCTTTACTTTTGAAAGTTTTTTCGAAATAGAGATGGATGTACCGTGGATGTAATGCTAAATACCTTAGAGATTTCGAAATTGAACTTAGGTTGCATTTCATTGGCAACCATACTAAATTCTCTATAAAGCAGCCAGTTTAAATGCTCGATATCACATTGCTGAACATTTGCAGATGTCGGACGCAAACACAATGATAAAATCTAGAAATTATACGATATACTTTCTGAGACAATACCGCATCCTATTTCATCCATTCGGTTCGCAAAATTTTCTGATCACTCAACGCTGTAAAAATGGGATTTCTTTTTCATTTCCCTGCTTGCTTTAAATAGAAATTTTACTATTTTGCGTCTGAAAAAGTGTTTTCATGTTACAAAAACGAAATATTAACACATGACTCACCTGTTGCAATTTTTTCGCATTAAGTAATTCCATTACCGGAATCTCTATTTCACTAAAATCAGCTTTTGTCCTCAATAACTTCCACAGAAAAGGCCATTCTAGAAAATGATAATTTGAAACTATTTTTTGATCCTATTCTACAACAAGTCCTACAAACCTCAAAAAAGAGCAAATAATCGTTCTCCCTTACGCTGCATTTTGCAACATTTCAAAAAATTCGGAAAACGAATTTTTTGCTTCTAAATACAAATACTGTCGACCGTGAAATTGATTTAAATAATGTCTAATAAATATTCCACCTTCTTCATCCCTTTGCTCATTCCGAGTGTAGCCGATAGCAACTTGTCCCAACATAGGCTCGATTACTGAATCTTGTCCTTGCACTGTCTCATCTCTCTGCGATAGCATCAGATGAAAATAACGTTCTGGCTGACTAGAACAAAAATGATTTGATTCCATGGATTTATTAACTACATTATAATAAGTTATGAGTTGCAAATTTCACCAAAGATATGAAATCATGAACTGAGCGTCCATTGCACACAAGGAGATTTGTGCTTGCTTTCATTAGGGTTATCAATATCGACAATATTTGTTCCATCAAACCTGACCCACCGGTATGCTAAATCTCCAAAGTAATCACGCTTCAATACCTATCTTAATGCATTACGGGACTGCACTAACGACAGAAATAGAAATAAACCTGTAATGCCGATTTTGTAAGAGAGCAGACAATTCAACAGCACTTAAATGCAGTATAAGTCCTTGAATTGTGATTTTTAAATTCTTTAACACCATATTTTCCTCTCCATCACCTTGCGTTTTTATATCCAAAAACAATGAACAAGATGCTAAGCGATAAATAAGATCATGATTTGAGCGAAAAAACCTAAGGATAACGGCTGAACAACCAAAGTTTATTGACACGAGCCGCAACTGCAAAAGGAAGATTTAAAATATGAGACTATACTAAAACGTACGAACAAGAAGAAATGAAGCAATTTGAGTTTTGAACTGCTGAAATTAACAGAACTCTGAAATTATTCTAAATTTCAGCAAACCACTGAAAAAAAATAAACCAAAACCCTTAACAAATGAAAAAGATGCACTTGTCCATAATATCAAAATCAAATTATAAAACAGTAACTTACCATGAACCGAAGTGTTGGTTCAAAAAGTGCAGCAAATGGGAGTGTAAATGGAGCTTCAGAAGTTGTCATTTCTATCAGTAAATCAACCAGACTATGTAAACAAGTCATTGCGGTACCATTCAACCCTGAAGTTCTCTATTTACACTAGTAAGTACATCGAAAATGAAAAATGATATTCCTTAAAAATGATTTTCAAGAACTCACTTAATTTTTTTCACTGGAGTGAGCACTGCTCATTTTCCAATGACGCGTAGTATTGCAAATATATGATAATCACGATCAAGAATTATTGTCCAACTTCGATTACGTGTCATTTATTAATTTTTTTTTTTTTGGAAATTAATATTCTATTTAAATTACTGAAATTTCGTCGGAATTTCAGTCCAAAGCTTTTTTTAAATTGATTTCTTAATCAACAGTGGGATGACAAGTTCAGTCACTTTTCAGCATTCCCCACTTCAATGTGACTATAATTTAAGATTCTATGTTTTAAAAAAAATCAAGCATTATTCCGCTTCTATTTTTGAAATTTAAAATTCCTCATGTGAAAAAACGTACTGTACATTAAAATTTTCCGCAGAATCTAATTTTCCAGTTCTCATCAAGATCTTATAGGTAATACTTAGAACATATTAGTACTTTTGAACTTATGAACTTATGGACATACGAAATCACGACTTGCCTGGAGATTCAATAATAGAGTTTACCAAATCAGGCATTTTGAGACCACAGAAAAGATAAACTAAATTGACAGTGCCTGGATCATTCTCAATACTCGATGAGCACATTTCAATGAATAAACGTGCTGTTTCACCACGTATTCTCGCCAGTGACAATTCATCAATTCCTGAAATGATTCATCAAAAAGGACTAAACTCAGAGACAAAATCTTCAATAGTCCGTTCAGTACAGAAATTATAGCGGCAACTTCTTCCTATTTCTGAATTGTCGACCAAAGAAAGTAGATTTCAAATTATATATCATATGAAATCAAACCATGGTAAACAGGCGAATCAAGAGCTGAAGCCTCAATCACCGCCATTTTCACAGAAGTCAATCGCGCAAAACTTTCAATTAATTCTAAAGAAAGTGGCGAAAGAGCTTGCACAAGACGACTTTGTATCGAAGGTTGACAACAGCAAAGTTCTCGCAATATTGATACTATGTGATATACATGTCTTGGGATAACCTCGGACTAAAATTAGTGAAATCAGTGAAGCAGTACATTATGACATGAGATGATCTCTAATTAATGTAGAGTACAAAGAGATGTCCTTATTTTACTGAAGCACATATATATATAGTTGGTATTTATATAACTGGAATGATGGATTTCAGGATTTCAGGAAATTGAGGAAATATGATGATTGGATTTTGATGGATTTCAGGAAATTGACTCATGATGGATTTCAGGAAATTGAGGAAATAGAAGAACGTTAAGGTAACAAACGAAATAAGTACCTGTGCCAAGTATGAAACGATAACTGTAATGTATGTTGCTGTCGCATTACCTTGCACTAATGACAAAAAAAGTGAATCCAATGATGCAATTATTATACTGGAATTAGTGGCACGAACTGCATTTATTAAAGGTGCATGTAACGATACGCTGATATCTAGCAAACGCAGTACTGATAATACAGCTGCTTCACGGTCCATTGAACGAGGAGAAAAATCTTGCAGACGTTCCGCTCCATCACACAATACTGCACCTAACTGAATTTTTTGGACGATGTGGATTTACAATTTCAATAAAAGAAACGTTATATTCACAATAAAGTGAAAATGAATACGGAAACGATCACCTATGATGAAAGAATATCATCACGATTTTGAAGAAAATGTTTTGTTAAATTTTTGCTTTTAAGTATACCGTCCATCAGCTGCAGTTGCAGGAAGCAAAGATATGAAAATATATATGATCGCCAACGAAACGTAGCTTACTGAAATAAAGTGAAAAAATAAAAACCATCTTACCGATCGAAATGCAGGAGAATCGTTTAAAATTTGGGTAAGGACAACAATTTGCGGGTCCGCATTTAGAATTGCTTCCGCTGTAATTGCGTAACGATGAAGAAAATTGTATAGAGAGTCGCATGCTGCAGAGCATAAATGCCACTGAAAATAGAAATTAAGACGAATGGATGCAACAAGATATTTCAGACTGCATTACAATAGAATTAAAATGAAATTTACAACCATAACTTGATAGAACTGCCAACAACTAAGAAAGAGAATTTGACAGAAAAAGGAAAGAATGTTATAGATAACTCATCCAAGAAATAAAAAATAACCATTTGTGCAACGTTTTCATATGAACGATCAGCAAACTGACAAATAATGGATTTAACGATAAACTGAAGATATTGCAGCAAATGTCGTTTATCAACATTTTTTGAATGTAAAAACAAAGTTTTCATAAGATGCAAGAAACCAATAGATGAATCGTAACACTTGAAGGCACATTCCCGTGTTTCTAATTCATCCTTCAATAGAAAATATATAGTCAAAAAATCCTTCAGATTAGAATTTTATTGGATAACTAATGAATAAATTTTTTAAAAGTATACCTGTATACCAATAAGTTTCCCAGAACTTGTTTTACTCAAAACAGAGAGTGATATCAATGTTGCCCAAATTTTCAAAGCACCATGTTCATCAATTGCAATTGAAGCTAAAAAACGAAACAGTGCTCCTTTCAAAACAAGAGGAATTGCAGAAGCTACCAAGCTTATTGATATTTCTATGCATGACCATGAACCGTTATCTGCGAAATGACGACGCGCAGTCTGATCCTAAATGTGATTATGTCAAGAAATTTTTTCCACATACTAGATCAAACAACTTGGAAAAAATTTTTATCTGATAAATTTTAAGTAGCTAAAATAAGAAACCATATTCACAAACCAAAAAAAAAATTTATAATTTGCTTTAAGTAAGCTTCGAAAATTCATGAAATTTTACGTTTTTAGTAACGATTTCCACAAGTTGGACCCATGCCACAAGGCCAGCTAACTCAGACTGTGGAATCTGCTGGGAAGTATCGTGCTGTCCTGGGGGTGCTGCATGTATTACACCTGATGTCTGACCCCTTTTCCGTTTGAAAAGTCCAAGATAATTATGCATTGCTTTCCAGAAATGATCCCAAGACAATGTACTTTGAGCTATAACAAAAATGTAATAATCAGATCTGATTTTTCGTGAAAACTCAAAATTTGTCAAAAACTTTGATGAAAATAAATTAGAATTTTTAGCATTTCAAAAATACTGTACCAAATTTTGCATGACATGGAGAAAGCAACCCAAATATGAAGTATGCCGATTCCCGACATTTGCAGATGTTTTTTAGCATATCGAGAAAAGCGACTTGCAGTACCGGTGAAATAAGCTGCCGGCAGTTTCTTAAAAATTTCACCAATTCCTCCTGAGAAATAATAAGACGAAGTTAACGAAGAAGTAAACATATACTTAGGAGTGCTCTATCAGATTTAGGAATGCTTCTATTTTTGTTTCGTAGTGTTTTATATAGTATAAGAACTGTGACATTAAATATAAATTATCTAAAAAATCACAATAGTGTTATTCTGCAAATAATCCTTCGCAAAAAGATGTAATTTTCAAAACTAAATTAATCTGATCATCGAATTGAGCAAACTATAGATCACAAAATTCAGAGCAACAAAACTGATTTACGACACTTCATCAGATGTAGTTGAATATGTCGGAAACTCACGCTCTCACTAGAGCAAAACTGTGCAGATAACTGCTCTAAATATTTTGAATCACCATCATACAAATCAGCAATACAACGAATAAAATTTTCAAAATGAAGCCGAGGTCTGTAAAGTTGACCACTCTCCAACATTTCCTCGACGTGCTGTAATTCTATTTCACCGGAATGTTGCAACATAACAACCTAAAACAGTTCCTATCAAGCGTAGAATGCTAATTATTTTAGTGCTTGTGTGATTTCACTGCTTTCACTAATGGATAACCAGTGGATGAATTCATGAAACTCAAAGTGCAATTTAGAAGTGAAACTGTGAAGAAAGAAAATCGCAATATCTAATAAAATATTAACCTGATTACTCAGATGAGCAATAAAGTTTTTGATCAGTGTATCAACTGTAGCAAAAGCTATGAAATTTTCTCTGAATTTCGGCATTGCAATAACGCATTTTCGAATGAACTGGAAAGCTAATCCATCGACTGCTTTTTCAAGCAAATCATCCTCTTTGATAGCAAAACCACCCAGAACTATTAAAAAATAATAATGAAAATAGATACTCAAACAAACCAATCAAAAATTGGAAGAAAACGATAAACAAAACTGTCCAAGTAGTCACATAAAGTAGACAACTGATTGTAATATCGAACCTTCTTGAACAAGCTGATGAACACTAAGCCAGTTGTATGAAACCACGACTGCAAATTGTAGCGAAGCCTGCAGACAAGAATCTTGCCAATCCTCCAAAACCACTTCCTTGTGGAATCCCATCAATAAATCTCGAGCACATCGCACTAGAATTTGTTTTATTTATTTATTTGTTGTATTAGAACTGCTGAAAGTACTAGAAAAAGCGTATTTCCACAGTAAATAACGAGGCAAAAACATAAAATAGGATAAAAAGTAAAATTATGGAAAAATACTATTTTGAAGATTGTGTGGAGATATCAGTATTAGAGCTGCAGTCCAGAGTGATAAATGATTATTTCTAAATGGCGTATTCGGCTGCAATTCTTTCAGTGGTACAAATAAATCATTTAAGAACGGTGGTGTTGATTCCAATTGCCATGACGAGCATATCAAATGGAATGTTTGTGCACAGTTTTCTAACATCTCTTCAATTAATTCCCGTAACTGCAAAAATTCCTACTATAGCAATAAAACTAATAAAAACAAGTGAACTCATAATTTAAATTTACATCATGAACAACTCAATTGCTATGATATATTAAATTTGAAGTAAACTCACAATTTCTTGATGTTTGGGGCCGCCCAGTCCATTTACATGTGGGTGATGCAAACTTTGCAATTCAGATTGAACATTTACGGTTTGCAAAACTTCTGAAAGCATCTTTATGAAAACCACTACTTCAAGATATTCAAGGAAAAATTCGAAATATAAAAATCAATCAGTTGCGAGCATGACTAAAATGTACCAATGTACGCATATTTGAAAATTGTCTACAATTTTCAAACAGTACAAAACATACCTATAAGACGTCTAATAAATGCAATATCACTAAGTAACTGATTGAGATACTCGAAAAGTTCTCGTGGCTTCGATACTTTTTCATCAACTCTGAATTCTGCTAGAGCCTATAAAACGTAATACATTCAATAAAACGATATGAAAGCAGCGGCCGTGCAAACATCCGCGGTATATGACAAACCAAACTCAGTATTTCAAATCGAAAAGCAATAAATAATGGTAAATCATCCTAGTTTCAAACTCTAAATTTCAACCAAGAAAATATGATAATATTTGGAACGAAATTTCGAAAATATTCATTTACTTTCACAGCTGCACTGATAAAGCGATGTGCATCATAGTAGCAAACAACAGCACAAAGACCCCTCGTTAAGAATGGAAAATGTCGTATTTGCACTTCACCTGCAAACATAAGCAATCAACCATGCCATACTCTTATGTTAATTGTTATTTTCTTATGTTAACACAAGCACTTTTGACAACAAAGCTATCAAAGTTAATAACTTCATGCATTGTATTCTACAGAAATTTTCTTTTTGGAAAATTTAACATTCGTTCTGATTTTCATGACCAAATGATGCATACACGTGCCGAACTACTCCGTAATCTTGGTAGTTCTACGATAAAAAAAACCGTACAAACGACAAGTTACATGTTTTTCGATAGCTTTGCTTAAGAGTTGTTAAATGAATCAATTCTTAACCATAATATTACGGAGTTAAATAAAAATAATAACAATTATTACCAGTTATTACTAGTTCAAGAGCATCAAATTCATCACAGTTAAATAAATCTGATATGATTATTGCTTCATTCCGCAGTCCGTCATCTATTTTCACTACTTCTCCACTGTCTAATTCCACTACTTCACCATTCTTGTTCAGCACCAAACGATGCGATGAATTTTTACTCTGAAAGAAAATAACAATCTTCTGCACAATACTACATAAACTCATACCATAATTAGAACATGACCTAATTCATTCGAACCGAGATTTCGAGTATGATTACAAAATAAATTATAGGAAAATACAAGACGTAAAATCATTTTGAAACGCGACTAAGATAATAACTTCGTTACCTTGCAAGTTTCGTTTTTCACAGTGATCACATTTCTTTTGTTCACTGCATGAACAATATTACGAAATCTTAATTGAAATTTAAAAAACACCAACCGAATTCCGAAATATATTGATGAGTGATGATCGAGTTTTGTTTAGTATAGCCATCAATTGCTCTAGGGAAGTACTACTGTTCTGTTCATTGTAACAACTCTTTATATAATCATCGATCATTTTAAAAGTATTCCGGGCTCGTACCCACATCTCTGAAAACATCATCCGACAGTAAAAGGACTAAGATATAGTGATATAATAGCGCCCATTAGCACTACTATTAAAATACTCTGGGATTCCATCTTCACTGAGTGAATCAAAAATGTATATGGCTACAGTCAACAAATTCATGATGCATTTCGTTTCGGAAATTGTGCTTTTTTTTTGTTGCCCATACTTCAGTACGGAACAATTCCAATCCCACTGGAGTTGGTATGAAATATCGGGCTAATTTAGTGAAACAGAAAAATTGACTTCTTTATTCGGAAATTGTCAAAACAAGGACATATAAACAAACGTCAAGTAAACTAATTTTCTTTCTGCCCTTTTCAACAGTCATCCACTACGGACTATATATACAGCAGAAATATAATAAATTAATTTCATTTCAATTACAATTAAATTGTGTCTAAATAAAGTGATTTCAATAAAGCAATAAGATATTGTAATGAATAAAAATGAAAAGTATACAAAAACTGGTTTTCGCATCAAAATTTAAGGGCACGATTCGCGTCGAAACATAATAATGCGCAAATTAATCTGTACTTAAGTTTAATTAAATAATTTCAATATTTCTTATAATTCAAATCCAATAACAAGTTTAACTCGAATATGAACCTCAAAAGATTTATAGCTTCAAGCAAGCCAAAAAATAAACTTCATTTTTAATAAGTTTAACTTCCTGAACTATACCGAAAAATCATTACTTCTTCAACAGATGCTAAACTAATATACACATCGAACACTGCCACCCAACCAAGCAGAAAAAATTGGTTTGTCCAAGGAAATATTTCGCTACGATTTTGACTTTTTGCTTCTCTGATTGGGTTACAATGAAAATAGTGCGACGCAATATTCATAATCAATTGCTGTCACAAAGTGTGACATTAGCGCTTGAGTGAAATGTTAAGCTCTATGGTGGTATGCTTGCGACACGTTTTATCAAATGAGATTTAAAGCCAAAGGACGTTAAATGAGCACAATGTTGGTAATTCTGTCAAGGTTAGGAGAAAAGAACCTCGCATGTTTATAATTTCTCTCGGATTTATCCAATTTAAAATTTAGCATTAACCAGATTATAAGACAAATTAATGATCCCAGCGAGGAATTAATAATTTCTCTTATAATCTGATTAATATGATAAAAGCCTAAAGCGATATTGTTCATACACTTAATTCTTTGACTATTTCATTTTAAAGAAATGAAGCATGTTAATTTTAACCCTGAATATAGATTATTTTCACTTCCGCTTCGATAATTGATATAAGCAAAACTTGATAGAGCTTATCATTCTTGCTTCTTCTGATATTTTTGCATCATTTGTCTGAATAATTGTTCATGAAATCGGTCGGGGAATCATTTCCCGCATGGTTTCATTATTGTTACCTATGCCGGTTTTGCTCGTGCATCATTTGAATTCTTGAAGACGATGGTTTCGGTATGAGGTAAGTAAATTTTTCCAATTGTTTTGTAATATATCTGAAGGTGATCCATTAGTCATTGGACGATCCTTTCTTGTTGATATTTTACGATTTTCCATTAAATATTTGAACGATAGCTAAACTATATTCCTCCCATCTTCTCCCGATTTTTCGAAAAAAAAAATATTGATTACCGTCTGATAAATAATATATTCAAATTTAAGGTAATAAGATTTTATATTTTGACAAAATTTTTTTTCGTATTCAGTGGTGCTTGACAGATATAACCAATAAAAAAAATGGTTAAGTTGAAGTATGATTCATATGGAGATAGGAGAAATGCCTAAGGTTATCTTAGTATTGTTACAGTGATCATGTCACTGAAAAAGAATATCATTAAAGCAATACTTGATAACGAAAATGATTAGTCATTTGGCGTTTGGTTCGGAACTTCATGTTAGATAAGTATAACCTTTCTTAAAATTACCATCTGTGAATTTGATTTTGCTTCAGTTAACATTATCTTGTTCCCTTTTGCTTCCTCAGTTCCTAATACTTGAATAAAATGAGAGATCTAAAAATGTTTGCAAATGATTGCTGCTGGAATTCGCAAATATAACAATCGAATTTAAATATGTTATGTGTAACAACACCAAAAAAGAGACCTCAAACAATTTTTTGTCCATGGTTCTTGGTTATGGTGAGTCATGTTGCGACCAGCTCCCTCTCAGTTATAATTATTTTCTCTCAGAGTCGGCCATGTGGTTCAATTAATTTGTGTCGTTTTTTTTTTCTGGAAGTCTTGAAGAAAAAGATGAGAAATGTTGTTATAAGTTCCCAAAACCAAAACATGTGAAACTAAGAAGACATGAGAGACGAAAGCACAAAATGCAATGTCATCAACAATTTAATAGTCCTATCCAGCTCACAGGAGTCTTCTTAATTCTTTCTTTACTAACATTTTATTTATTTATGTAATTGAAATCGGGTATATCTACTATATAGTCTCTTTATTTATATGATCTTTATTTACCGAAGTAGTTACCTTCAGTCTTTTATGCCACTTCTAGCCAGATAAGAATCTATTTTTGATCTCCAGTACGGGTTAGAAACAAATATAATATTTAGTGTATCTTCCATTAATTTTTTCCGGAATTTGCAGGATACACTGCTGCTGATTTATTAGTCTTTCACTTCCCTCTGTTAAAAAACAGAAATGATACATATATATGACTTGCACTGAGAATGATGAATCGTTGATGAAACTGCTGTCTCAGAAAGCCTCTTCTTCTTTCCTATTAAAATCACAATTAGAAATCGGGAATGAAAGATACCGATTGGGATGGAACGACTAAATAAAAAAGATGCTCTTACGTAAACCTGTTTTATAAACTCAGACATTCACACAACTCACCGACCTGAGTCTAACTTCACCGCTTCAGTCCAGTATAATTTAGCGATCTACTGGGCATTCTCGAAAAATTAGCAAGACAAATTTGTTTTACAAACTCATCTCACGTCCCACACATCCACCTGGCCGCATCCAACTGACATCTCACACATCCAACTGACCGGGATTTAACTCCACCGTTTCAGTCCAGTATAATTTAGTCATCTTACTGGGCATTCTCGAAAAATTAGCAAGACTCTACATCTCACTCAAGCATCTAAGACTTATTTCTCAGCATAAGAAGTTTCAAATATAGTGAGACTAAGTATTGTTCATCTGACATAATGCTAACAAAATATCGTCGATTTATCTTTAAGTATATCGATAGTAAATCCTCTAGTAAATCATTCCAAGATGATTCTGTATTGCTTTTTTTTGAGCACTCTAATTTCAGTGTTCTCGATTTCAATGAGTAAAAAAGAACAAAATCGTCAATCTTGTTATACTAAAATTTGAAAGCCACAAAACAGGTCAATCATAAACCGAATATATTCAAAAACTGAGTGCTCTGTAGGATACATCCCACTGTCGCACCAAGTGACAAACAGTTCTTGAGATTAAAGTCGAACTGTAAAATAAAAAGAACAATAATTAAATCGCAATTGGAACCGCTTTATGATCAAATTTCTCGAGGAAAATGTAGAAAAAGGCCAAATGAATAGACATTCCCTTCCCATCACATATTTCCATCATCAATAACTGCAGAAGATTACTATACCACTGACAATAACAAGTATGAGAGAAAAACCTTGACAAATCGCAAAAATGCTTACCCCGATTGTATATGTACAAAACAACTACATCAAACATATTCATATGAAACCATTAAAATAAACAAAGATACTGTATACTGCAAAACATATGTGTTAGAAAAAAAATCGACCGTTTTAAGAAGTATCTCAACCCTGAGAAGAAGTGATCCAAGGAAGTACCACAGGTAAGAAAAATATGAGTTACGTTACTCATTATCTAATTTTTTGATAGATGGCCGTATAAACATATACGATAAAAAAGAACTTTTAAACGAAACAGACGATCGAATCCCGTTTACAAAACCATTCCTTTAAGAGAAAAACCAGGAATGCAGAAGCACTCGACCGGCCATCAATCACATGTCATTAATCAATAATCAATCACCAATATTTTCTTGATTACAAATAAAAAACCGCCATTATTTGGTCTACAAATATATAAAAATAATTCAAAAATAACATCATTTCGGTAGTTTTTATGATTACATACAAATAAGAGGTAAAAACAATCTTATCGATTCCCTATTCGAAAATAGCGATAATACGATTGTGGTTTATTACGGCCACAAACTCCCAATTGGCAATCTCCTCTATTAAAAGTCAATTAAGCATTTCTTCGAAAGACTTATTTTCACTTCCATTAATCATAATTTTATAATATCAAAAAGAATTGATCAATTATTGTTCATTTACGGCCTTTGTGTAGTTGCAAAACCACCTTCCTGTTGTAACCGCCGCATCATATCAGAATTCAATGAGCCAGGATTTACGATTCGAGACCCCAATTCATTATTGAATGGATTCATCATCGTCATTTGCAAAAGCGCATTTTGCTCCAGGAAAGGACGTTGAGCTTGAGCCTGCGCTGCTGCTGACATGGCTAACAGCTGCTGCAACTGAAGTGCATCACCTGCAACCATATAAATTATTAATTAATTAATTAACCATCTCATAAGCATTGTGCAAAGCGACTTCGAGATTTCTTTTGAATTCCGAAACTTCTAAGTGCAGTTAATGATGCAGAAAACATGACAACTACGAAATGGCATTATCCATCCTTATACAAGAATGAATCAAGGACGTTAATTAAATGGTACCAGGATGAGTAGCAGCTGCATGTTGCATCATCGCAGCAGCATGTGGATGGAGATGGGACTGCGGTGCTTGAGATACCGGTATTCCACCAGGAGCCAACATTTCCATACCAGCCATACCTGTAATTAATTAATACTTCCTTATTAGTAAGTACCTATATTTTCAAGATTAACAGCACGTAACTAAAACCGAACATATCAACCTAAATCCAGAACATGGACATTGACACTTTTCAGTTCCATTTTTTAATAGGACTTAAGTTAAAATACATACCTTATATGCAATGCTCTTCAAGCTGTCACTTATTACTATGTATATAATACTTCGCAAATTCCAACCTTTGTCAGTACTATAGCTGCATTCAAAAATGACACGAAGCATGAATTTAGATGAGTGAAGACAATGTTCTTTGGCGCATAAAATAAAAGCAATGTGATGCTGAAAATTCTTAAAACTTTTAAAAGTCTATGAAGAAAAACTAACTAAGCATGCGCTGCTCCAAATTATTTCGTTGCTCCAAGGCACTCATCATTGCTGCGGTATGACTATCGATACCCATCCCAAACTGCGAAGCAAGCTGTGGATTATGCATCAGTGCAGCCAAGGCTCTCGGGTCCATCCCAAAATTATGGAAAGGTGGTGAAAGCATGTTGGGAGGAAATCCATGAGCATTAACAGCAGTACCGCCACGAGATGGAGAATCACGAACAGCTGTTACTGCAGAACCCGTCGTTACTGTACCATTCGCACCATTTCGTATCATCTCTAACTGATGTGCTCGTAGTTGCTGTTCCATTTGCTTTTGAAAAACTTGCTGGAAAAAAGTAATTCAGACAACGTCAAGTAATGTCAACGTCAAATATAATGTTTCTCAACTGGAAAGGATATCGCAAATGTGAAGAATTACCTGTTCAACAGCGATAGCATACTGCTGCTGAGGAGTAAGGAAACCGAATCGTGGATCCGGCATACCGGGAAACATTCCTGGTAAACCAGAAACTGCAGTGCCATTCATGGGAACCCGACCCCCCATGAATGCTTCAACACTTGGCGTACCCGACAAAGGTGCAAGTTGTGCAGATGGCAATTTTGGCACTGTAACTGGAGTCTGGAACGTTTCATTGGGCTGAAAAATTGTTTCTTAACAAAAGTATGTAAAAGAAAAAATGAAAAGTACAAATTAATTTCACAATGAGTTTAAATAGCTAATCAGAAGAGAGCTAAGAATAATAAACCATTAACTTAAATTCATATGAAACTTCAGGTGACGAAAAATAAGTGAAAAAACGCTATCTCTAATGACCTTTTTCTGCGTATTATTTATATGGTTCTTGAGGGAGGCACGAGCTTCTCGTTTCTTATCCCATTCCGAACCAGGTTTCATACGAAAAGCTAGATCTGTACGCGCACACATTTGACCACAGCGCCGATCGATAACTCGGATGAGCAATGCATTTTTTGTTGTTTCAGCAACTGTATCATTTATGATCCAATAACCATCATCTGAATCTTCCTCTTCCGTTTTCATTTCCTGCAAGAACTTTCAAAACTATTCATAACTGGCAAGCCTAAATCATATTTCATATTAGCAGATATGAAACGTAAAGAGTATAGCAATAAAAGGACAAGTAATAATAGTGCATTTCTTAGTGTATATAACACGCATACTCAAGTACGTGCACACTTCCACTATTACAAAACAAAAAATTGTAGACAGCTTTATAAAAATCGTGCCATAAGAATCATCCCAAAAATTTGCATAAATCTCACATTATCAAATTAGTCAGATGTGAGCAACGAAAACTTACATCAGGAGGAGTCCGATCGATTGGCTTCACGAAACTTGTGCTGGGCTGTTCTGTTGCAATTTCTACAGCTTCCGCAACTTCATTTTCAGCAATGCCGGAAGCTGAAGGCGGTTCATTTACCGCAGCATTGGTTGAAACAGAAATAGAGGTTTGCAGTTCAACACTCGGACCTCCTTTTTCCGCACATACAGACGTCTTTGCTTGCACCAGACAGTGCTTTCCTTCTTCATCAATACTGACTACTTTCAATGACGCCGAAATTGACTCTGATTCTGGAGATGTTTCTGTTTCATTCACCTACAAATTCTATTAACATCTATGAATTACGCATAACATAATGACAAATAGAAATTGGAAGAAATAAAAATATATTACTGTCAACGATCAATGTTATTGCTTATATATGTAAAAATAAATCGTCTATACAAAAATTTAATAAATTACGAAAGATAAAAACCTTTCCAGTATTTAACGAATTATCACTGGTGCGAACTTCTGAACTGACACCCGGTTCATCTTCTTCTTGTACACCGGTATTTTCATCTTCCTTCTCTCCTTTTATAAACCGTTTCTTTGCACTCCCATTTACCTTAAACTATATAGATGAAACATACGACTCAGATTCTAATAGATAGTAGTAGTAAATATGGAGATAACTAACATATTCACTGTTTTGCGCATGATTTCGCTTCCTTTTTCCATTTCTTTGCTTCGTCGTTTCGCCATCATTTGGTGAACTGACACCTTTTTTATCCATCTCTAATGAAGTACCACGTCTTTCCTTTTTATTAGCTCGTGTCCTTACTCCTTGTTCCTGAAATTCATTTTTTTCTCTCATCAGTTTCAAATGTTTCGCTTTATTTTCTAATATTGAAAATGAACTCGTTAGATGAAACGGTTTGTAAGATAAAAATATTTGACATAGTTTTGATCACAATATTTTCGTATGAAATATCAATAAATATCTTCGACCTCATCATCGTTGCCCTCAGGACTTCTCGGTTTGTACAGTGATGGTGGAACGGTACTTGGCCGATCGACAGGACGTAGCTGCCCATACTTCTTATAAAAAATTCGACATTCAGTACAAAGCAATTGCCGTTCTCTACCAGAATGGTGCCAATCTTTACTTTCTAAAAAAATGGAAAAACTTGCTGGAGTTTATGAAACCGAAATGTAAGTTATGAAACCGAATTCAGAATGGAGTATTGAAGTAGAGAATTTGTATCCATTTCGAATTTAAACCGCAAGATGAATAGGATGGTAATATAACAAATTGGAAAATTACATAGAAAATTAATGAATAACATTACTTGATGTGTAGCAATGATGACAAGCATATGCTGCAGCACGACCATCATTTTCTAACTCTTCCATTTCAGCCTCGCTTGCAGATGCATAATCAGCCAAATCGGTACTACCAGGACGAGATGCCTGGAATTTGAAAACGTTTTTTGAGATTATGCAGTAAATTGTTTGACAAGATATTTACTTATACCGAAAACTAAATAAGAAATTGCAAAAAATTGAAACAGGGAACAAAAATATCGAGCAACTGACCTTCAATTGATTGCTCTTTGGTTTTCGATGTGTTGCGGTTGTCGTATTTCGCTGCCGTGCTAACGGCTTAGGCCTTGTTGCATCGCGAGTTTTCTTCCATCCATAATAAAACTGTACTAGTTCATCCTGAAAAGAGAATAATATTTTTTAAAGCAAAAAATGATACTTTTTGCAAAAATTAAAATTGAGAAAACATATAAACATAATTATGTAATGTAATACATATGTAATTACGTAAACGTTATAACACATAGCACTACTTAAAAAACACTCATGAGAAGTTTTTAAAACTTCTTAGCTCTAAGCAAACCTGAGGAGTATTACTGATCTTACAAAGAAAACAAAATTTAGCTTATACAATCACGAAAAATGTCTCTCATTGTTATGCATTACCTAAAATAATTCATTATATATGAATAAGTTCTTTATGAGTAATGTTATATCATATGAGCTCTATATTATATTTTACAAGAAACTACATTATTAAAAAATTACGTCATTACAAGAAAATAATTACAGCTTACTCGACGATGATGTGGTAGTAGTTCCTTTTTGATTTTTAAGAAATTTTTCCCATATGTTTTAATGCCACGAGCAAATTTCTTGGCATCATCAACACTCATAAAATTGGTCACTTTAAGCATATGTTCGTCATTTTTATTCATTGCCTCAATGGCATAATTTACGTTATAATCACATTTATGTAGCTGAAAAAAAAAAGTTATCAGTTATCTGTAAGAAAGATAAAGGAGATTTTCAAAAATAATCAATGGTTAAAGGTAATGGTAATGGATGGTTCAAGTATTTCTGAGTGATTCAAATTCACTAAGCTATGCCATCACCAAATAATGAAATTTCAAGTGATAAAGTTATAGCATGGTAAAAAGTGCATCAATGGTCACTATAGAATGAATAGTTTGCATATATATAAATTTGTACACGAAAAGGAGAGCAGCTTGTTTGAATCAAGATTGTTGTTTTTATCCTTTCAACTCCTACTCTATGTAGGTTCAGTACTTACTCAGTTTCCTATCGCTCATTTATAATAAAGTAAACAACTAAGAAAGAATAAAATAATCTGTAAAATTTGTTTAAAATGATTTACTAACCGTAATTATGGCATCATGCATACATAAATCACCAGTCCTAAAATCACGCTCCATTTGTGTAATTTGTTCATTCCGAACCATAGCAAACATTCGAAATGATCGTGTCGCTCTTTTATAACTGAAAACATTTTCTTTAGTTATATATATACTGAATAATAAATGAATTCATTGCAATTAAAAGTAGTATCTAACTTATCAAATTCACTTTAGCACTGTGAATCTATCAAAAAAGTTAACGTAGTTTCGTCGGATATAAACTTTGCGTATTTGTCAACAAAGAAAAAAACACCGTACTATTCATAAAAAGAGTTTTTACCTACATTATGATTAGATTTAACCAATTAAATATATTTAATATTTTTGATGAATAAAAATGATGATGAAATGCTTACACATGCTCACTCTCTTCATTAATATAACCCGGCCTCCATTGCAATTCATCGCGATCCGGTTCATCCACCGCAGAGCATCTCTCCATTGGGGGTAACTTCGCCTGAAACTAATGCCGGCAATTTTAAATACATAATTAATTGAATTCCTTTATTTAGCTGCTAAATTATGCAGTCAGACAGATACAAAAAAAAGGAGACTATGATCCTTCTACAACAATTTTTAATCTTTTTTCCCTCAAATGAATGAAGATGAGAAAAACAGTTAATAAGCAATTAGGACTAAAATGTATGAAAAATACAATCACAATAAAAATGATATGAAAAAGAATTAAAGTTGAAAGTACAGTTCTTTGGAAGAACGAAAAATTAATGTCATATAAGCAAAATGTGATGAACAAATTGCTTGCACAATACTATTCTACCATCTGAGGAATGGATTCGATCAAAATTTTTTTTAATACTTTTGAAACAATTAAAAAATATTGAAAAAAATCAAATTATCAAATCTCAGATCAGAATAAAAGAAAACAAACTTGCAAGAAGCAATGACCTCTCCCTTCCTACCTTGAACAAAACCCTTTGTTTTTAGTTCCAAAATATCAATCATATGCTGGTTTTTTCCAAAGAATAATTTTTTGTGTCATAAACAATTATCAAACATTCGAATGCCTATTTTCATCATGCCCTCTTCTTACTTTACCAAAACCATGCAGATGTTATATGGTAGTAACAGCTAGGAAAGAAACTAAACAAACCTGATATGATCCGCCAACGCGGATTTCACCTTGTACGGATGCCAGCCTGCTATTGTTTGGATCGAATGATACCAACGAGAAAAAAATATCAGTTAAAGATTGTATGTCACATTCGCGTAATGTGCGAATGTCTTTAATCAAACGTATCGTACATTTACCCCTACAAATCAGTAAACATTTTATTATTATGAGGAAAAAATTGAAATCAAAAAATTAATAAAGTGCAATAAAATAAAATTATCAAATGGTTAGTGCAAAAAAAATGGAAATATTTATTTTTTATAATTTCAGCACAAAGTTAAGATGTATTATACGACATCATTCCTCAAAACAAATGAGCACTGAGGTGCAAATGTTATTACAACTGATCATTATCATATTATCAATTATCACAACATCAATACACTATTACAATTCGATCACTGAAAGCCACTTATTATTTCCACTATTCGCTCGTTGAACAACTAATATTTACAACCTATCTCTTAACGTAACGATGAAGAGAAATGTCCATTTTGATTTGAAAGAATGATATGAAAGGAATGAAAAATTAAAATTCTTTACAGAAACTTATATGTATCACATCGATTTGTCCTTCTTTTCACAAACAAGGTCTCAATTACTAGATGGGAGAACTGCCGACCCTTTCTTTTCAATTTTCTTAAAACAATGACTGACAATTTAATGAAGCCCGAACGTGTGTGTCATCTAACTGATATTAAATGTTTGAACATCACAGTTATTTCAAATTCCAATGTATGGACTAATTCAAACTTTAACATTTCATCCCATTTAATCATCTAATATACATTTGTACATGAAGATAGTAACTTGGAATAATTCATCATTTTCGATAAGTTATTTATTATTAACATCTATCAGCATATAATATTAATTATTGTTGTTGAAAATTCAGTTAGTACTCAAATATAAAATATGATAGAAGTGGAAAGAAGTATGCCTACTCATCATTAAAACTCAAACTTTCAATAATCTCAATAAACAAGCCATGCTGCTCAACCATCGAATCATTATTTCCCTCAATAAGATATGCGCAAATATATCTCAGCATATAATAAGATCTTCTAAACAACATTATAATATGAGAAGTTATTATAAGAAAATTAAAAGTAAAAGTACATGCATATATATGATGTATTTTACTTTTGCTCCTATATATATATATATATATATATAAATGTAATTAGATAAGGCAAAAATGCAATAGCAGTGAAAAGAGTAGGTGAGGTAAAGGGTCAAAGATAAGAAGACGATAGAGATCAAATTCATCATCTCGATAAATTCGATAATTCAATAGCTCATCACTCAATGCCAAATTGAAAATTGAATTTGTCCTAAGAAAGAGAGAAAAGTGATTAATACATACCGAAAAAGCCAATTAGAAATGCTCCCTTCTCTCATTTCTACTCTTTCTCTCTTCCTCTCTCTCTCTCTCTCTATACACGTGAGCGGAAAGAACAGATTTATTCCATTGTTAAATCGATCAATTCTACTATTTAATTGCATCACAGCATATATGGAGAATGAATGTGTTTGGCTCATTAGATATTTATAAATCATCAATAAGCTCTAATTCTTTACTTACTTACTTATTTACTTGATTATTTAATTACTCATTAAACAATCTTATAACCTTGTTTGGAATAAATGAATAAATCACTCTGAAGAATTATAAAATCAATCAATATATCAAGATAAATAATTCCTTCAATGATCTAATTATCGAATCGAAGAATATTAAAAAGAAGCTTGAAGATAAGTGCTAATCAAAGATACTTAGAACTATATCATCAGAAAACATATCAATGAAATCAATCAATTGATTTGTTCCAAAATTATAAGATTTTTTTTTAAAATGAGTACCATATTTCCTTCCGGACGTGGAAATAAAAAATGCGATCCCGCAATAGTGTTATTGTCAATATTGAATTATCAAATTATACGTAAATTATATTTAAATATATAAATAAACGAAAGAAACAAAAGTACTACTTAAAAAGAAACTTCACTCTAGAGCTTAAAGAAAGATGAAAAAATCAGATTAGATTATAAATGTATTAATCACAAAAATTTCAAACATTCAATTTTTCCATTCAAAATTGCAATTGCTAATAAATGAATAATTGAAAAACAGTTACAATATTTAATAGTATTTGTTATTTATTTGAATAATAGGAATAGATATCGGCAAGTGATAAGAATTATCACTTTCAATTAACTATCACTTTTCCATTTAAAAAGGTGACACGAAAAGATCAATTACTCACTGAATTCATGAAATCCAGCATTTTTTAAATATAATTTAAAAAGAAGGATAGCAATAAAATAAGCGATAGATCAGATATAAAGTTTAATATATATTTTAGAAAGGATAGAGAGAGAATGGAACATTACTGGAATTGTTGGAATAAAAATTAGACTAAATCATTTTATTTACCAATAAATCGTTCATATATACCTGTTCATATATAAATTGTTCACAAAATTTTAATAAGTTATTTAAACTGAAAAAGTTTAAATAATCTTATTCATCCCTTATTTCATTTATCAATGATATGATTTGGAATTGTAATGATTATGCACAAAGATAAGAAAGCCAAATATCCTTTAATTACTCATTTATCTTTCTCTCTCTCCCTCCATCTACACTGTAAATGATCTTTTAGAATTAGATAAGAAGATATCAATTGGTTTAAGGCCATATGATTGGTGAAATAGACATATAGTTATTAGCTAATAATCAATTTACAATAATTAATTTCATTTCATGTTTACTTTTAACGAGAAGAAAGAAAGAATTCATCGATACAGTGAATCACTGTGTATATTACTAAGAATTACTCCCAAAAATTCCTGAAAATCCATGATTAAAAAATTTGATATAATATCGTCTTTTAAATAATAGTTGTATGCCGAAACTATCTTCTATCTATATTATTATAGATTAGGTAAACAATAAATGTGAAACGATTGGGAGTGTTCTATAATCTGTTCTTTGATCAGTGATCGTATTTCAGTGCTAAATTATCTTCAACCTATAACTAAAATAAATCTAAACTTTCTTCATTTTTCTCCATATGATAAATTGATAATAAAATGATGCCATTCATATCACTAGGCTTTTTTTTCGACATAAGCGCTTACTGATGTCTGTCTTATTGATCATCAGCATGAAGAATTCATGTATCATTTTCCCAATTTGTTTCCATCTTTCCAAATATATATGCACAAGAGAAAAGAAACACTCAAACCTTTCACGCTCTATTTTTCACAACATTCCCACTTTACACATTAAAAACAGAAGAAATTTAATCAACTGATGTAAAATATCCGATTTTGTAGGAGCGCTAAAAACTTCTCTTATTCTTTATCATACCAGTACAACTCTTTATCACTGATAACATTTAGCAATATGTAATTGAAAATTTTTACTTCATTCTATTCTCTTAGAAGTAATAATGTCTAATCGAAATACGACGATTTTATGTCCTTAAAAGTGCTCCTTATATTTTGTAATGTGAAAGCATAAAAGTTCGCCAAAGAATCTGCTTGGTAGACTGCTTACTATCATCGATTTACTTATAATCGCTTTTTCTTAATACCGGCTATCACCAATATATGGCTATTCAATGTTTCTTATGCCTTTTATTACAAACTTTTCGACATTTTTCTCTTAACTTTTCACCAAGATATACCATTCGTTTATTTCCATTTAGACCTGATTTTCTTCCTTCAGGAAACAGTACAAGCTATAAACATTATACATGATGATCATCCGTTACTTTTTCAATCGAAAAAGAAAATACATCCATTATATTTATTAACAAAAGTCCAACTTACAAAATTTACGAATTTAACCACCTAAGGATAAATCGCACAACAATATGCACAGAAATATTATTACTCCCTTCTACAATAATTAAAAGTAGGAATTTGTAAAAAGAAAAAAATATAATATATTCGTGTAAAAAATATTTTCGAAGTGTAAGGCGTCGTAAAATATCACTTCATAACCATTTATTTCCTTATTGAACTCTTTTCAGACAGCTCTATACCTAACAATCATTCCCATACTTTCTTTATGTTAAATTGAAAGTTTTAAATTTCATTCTTATGCATTGCGTTTCCCTACACATTACATATCGATTTCAGTTTAACTAGCAAGCAACAGCTAGATAGAACATAACGAAGAATAATTTCAATTTTTTTTCAGAAATATGTTTTAAGAGTAATGTTTTCCCATTTAAAGGAATTGATTGGATTTTAATGTAATAAAATGTTAAATTTAAAAAAATTGCAAGGGAGAAACAGAAAACTTATTCGACTTATTTCATAAATTTAACTAAAACACAAATTCAATCGATTTTGTAGAAAATTGGCCGCATTCTTTTTCTCTAAAGAAATAAGACTAAAATTGTGCATGTAAATCAAAAACTGTTTTGTTCGTCAAAATTCTAAAATGATAGGACAGTAAAGAGAAGGATAGAGAGAGAGAGAGAGAGAGAGAGAGAGAGAGAGAGAGAAGGAAGAAAGAGCAAACGACAACAACGCCTTTTGGTAAAACCTTATTAAAGTAATCGAACTCATTGATAATAAGTAGACAGACTGCTGCCATAAAGATGTATTCATCCCAATGAAATAAACAAGGGATATATATGAACGAAAACCATATCCAAAACAGAAGATTTCTTTTTATGTTTTTTTTCCAAAAGTATATAGGGATGTGAGAGAGAGAAAGAGATATAAGACGGAAGAAAGAGAAGGCATTTATTGGAATAGCCATCATTGATGGATGAGAAAGAAGAGAGTACGGGAGATCGATCGAAGAAGCAAACGAAACGATAAAACCATGATCAATAGTAAGCTCCATCCGCTTCATCCCTTACCTCTCTCTCTCTCTCTCTCTGTCTTTTTTCTTTCAACAACAATAATAATAATAATAAAATATTTAATCATGTCCAGTACTATTCTATGCAACACTAAACTAAACCTTTCACCGCTCTAATCTTCTCTTATCCTCTTTTCCGACCACTACATTATTGTCATTTAATCCATTCATCAATTCATGAAGTCACCATCTTCTTTATAAGCAATGACAGTTCCTTCTGCTCACTGAGACAATACCGCTTTCCCCCTTCCTCCTCTCCTTTTCTATAACAACAATCATCCAGGAAAGAAATACCTGGACAAGGTTGTAATATTTAACCATTACTACTATTACTAGCCCCTGTACAACCATCTGATATCACTACTACTTACCCTTCTCTATTCTTTCCAATCTCAGAATAATTAATCGTTTATTACTAATTACAAACTATTATATCAAAGGACAAGCATTTAAAGCTGAGTAAACATTCAATAATCAATAGGATGTTGAAAGCAAAAAAAAGAAAAATCATATATAAATAAAATAACAAGGAAGGAAAAATTTAACTTCTTTCTATGCAGTATTTATTACTAATAACAATGCAACAATATCATTGGATCTATTTACAGATAAGATTAGAGATAGTATTAGTGATAGATTAAACGAAGAAGTAAATATATCAAAATGAAATTGATATCACAAATGATAAAATATTTGAAATGGATGATGAATGGTGTGAGTGGAAAAGGTAGAAAAGAAAAAATGGAATGAATACTCTAAAGTGTGATATTTTGTAAGGATAACCTCATTTTCGAGTACTATAACCAAAATGATTGTTGTTTGGATATTGGAAATTGTGAATGGGAAATGATTGAGATTGCTATCTATCTATCTACACAAGGTATATTAGAAATTGCCCCCGTCCCCTTCCTCCTTTTATGAATATCTATCTATTAATCACTTTTCTCTCTCTCTCTCTCTTATTCTTTCTTTTCTCAAAAATTTTCTAAGTTCCATTATTAAACTATTCATAAATTCTTTCGCAGCAAACACATCAGTTCGAACATTTTCCTAGTAAAAATTTATGATGCCAGTGATTTGGTCCATTGAAATGGAAGAACCCAATTTTTTTTCCTACTTTATATCATCAAATCGAATTCAATAAATTCTTTTCTTTTACTTTTTCTCTTTGCTAACAGCTACTCCATTCATCTGATCATTGCTTACTACTAACAACTATCCTTCAAACATTGAAAATTACAATTAGCCAATACTAACATACTCTCTCTCTCTCTCTCTCCCTCTCTTCATCAAATGAAATTGATATCAAACAAATATATATATATGTAGAATTTGGGAATTTACTTTGAATCAAATTACGCTCCGCATATTGCAATTTTAACAAAATTAATATAAATGCAAGTTGTAATTGATTTCTATTTTCTGTTCTCGAAATATATATATTTCTATTCAATGCGACTAAATGTTCTACAGCGTTAATGAATTAAATAAAATAGATTTAGGCATATACAACTATTTATGGACGATTTTTATCTTTTAATAATTCTGTAATAGTATCTGATATTATCATCAAACAAATAAAGATTAATGAGTGAAGCGCTTGGGGTATCATTGCATTACAGAACAAATAAATAATCTGTCTGAATTCAAACCTAAAACCTCTCTCTCTCTCTCTCTCTCTCTCTCTCCATCAGCCATTTTGTCTCCTTTTTCGCATTTATCTGATCCTTTGTCCATTGAAATATTTTATTAGCACAAAAAAATGAACCTTATCCATGCAAACTTTTACGATATTTAACTTTGCTTCTTAATCTTAACATCATTAATTTCTTCATATTAATAATGAGAATGGAAAAAATTTTTTCTTTAATAAATGCGATGTATTGGCAAAATCAAGATGTATAATAGATTTTGAACTGTATTACTTTATAGGTTGTAAAAGTGAAGAAAATTTTTTGATACCTTACTCACTGAGCCTTTTCAGGTGAAAATCCATAATAGGCTTTATGTTTAGTATTATGATATGTTTTATTGACCATAGTAACTTAATTCCTAACTATTAATCCATTGTATATTTTGATTATATCCTTTAATCTTTTTTTTATTTTAATTCAAAAGAAGGTACTGAACTCTTAAAATTAAAGATATAAGCTAAATTAAAGGGATTAACAAAAATGGGAAAGGAAAAGAAAGAACGAGGAAGAGAGAAGAGGTGAATACAATTGAACAAATAATGATAACAATCGGTAGTTGAAATTACTGGCATTATTGGAAAACTGAAACAAACCTGAGATGACAAATTGGATGGACAGATGAGATTTCGGAAGAGAATAATTCTCGAGTTTGCATAGCAGCCATGACAGTATGATTAAGCGATGTATCATCTTGTCGATCTTGGAGTAACAATGAGTAGCTGTCTTCAGGGACATCTTCCGGTCTATAGAATCGTGTAACTTTTACTGACAGCTGATCTCGTTTTGTCTGCAAAGATAGTGCAATTAATTATAACCATGCATATATTCGCTATTTTATATATATATATATTTCTTAATGAAGTTTTTCTTTTTCTTCTCTACTGTAGATGCAGAGGTAAATGACCTTCGATCCTAAATTTATTCTTTATCGGAACTTTTTCATGTAAAACATTCTTACTTATTACTAGTTCTAAATAAAAAAAAGAAAAACTTTATTAAGAAATCAATGAATATGCCGGCGTAGAAATCGGGGAAAAAGGTAGAAAAATATTGTCTTTCGAAATTTGCATTCTTCATTGCAATTTCCAACATAAGTTATCGCTCAAGTTTTATTTTATCAATTTAATTTATGATATTTAATGGGTCATTCAAATGTTGATGACTAGAGTTGCTCTTTAATGAATCATCAGAATAGCAACATTCCGGATATTTCCTTATAAGAGATAGAAATAAAATCTCGTGTTTGCGATCACTAGTATTAGTACGTATTACTAGACCATATATGACTCACTATTTTCATAACTTTCGAGATTCAGGAGAAATGATATAGTTACAAAAAAAAAATGAGTACAGGCTATCGGGTAACTCGGATTCGGGTTTTGATTAATTATAAATGAACAAGAGTAAAATCCGAAATTAGTAGTCCTCTGTCGATCATTTATTATTTTAGAGAAGAATTCGAAAGTATATCCCCATAAAACATGTTTTGTATAGTTCAAAGGTTATTGCTGATTTAGCAAACACTGGTAAAAATAATTATGTGTAGAAAGCTCATTGTAAATGAAAAAAAAAATAAAATTGATCAATTACTTCAAAAATGATTTGGGATTACCAAGAGGACACCACATCCACTTAGTAATAATACCCATATTAAAATTTTCCCTTCATTAGTGTATACTCTTCAACATCAACATCTGAACAAATGAAGGAAGCACCATTTTAAAATTTGAAATTGTCCCAATATAATAAGGATCACACTGAGACACTTCGATGAAAACATGATCGCCAGGTCGATAAAGCACTCCGTCATGTGCTTCGAAACACTTGTATTCACTGTCGCTTCGTGCTTTGTAGGCTTTTCCACGTTTATTTTTCGTGGAATCCCCCTGAAAATACCTTTATTCCATCAAAACATAACTGGAATACCGAAAATCGAAAAACCGACAATGATTTCTACCAAAATGATTTATGAGATAATTAGCTGTCACAGTTACTGTAATAGCGAAAAGTACGAGATCAAAAGTCACCGAGACTTGCATATTTCGAAATGTTTTTATTTCTAGAGGCAATAAGATAATTAAATTGAAAAAGAAATTAGGAACAAAAAGCTAGAAATCAAATAGGTTAAAAATACTGTTGGGAGGATTGTTTAATTCTTTTTTAAAATAAATATAATCTAAAAATTATTCGAAAGAAAAAGAATTTTTTGTTGCTTGGAAGATTTCAAATAAAAATAATTAGTAAAATCATCTAAAAAAACTTTGAAGATGTAATAATGAAAATCAGCATGAAAAAAAATTTTCGAAATGGCTGTCACAGAACAATCTTACACAATACTAATTTCTTAAAAACAAATTAAAATAAATTTCGAGTTTATGAATTCCCAACAATGCTCGTGTCGTGTTATAGAAAAACCTCATTTCCAGCATTCTTTCATCTGATGTATTTTCAATAAGTATTAAAACAGAAAATCAATTTCGTACCGTCTAAACTAGTATTAGAAAGTTGCATCTTTCCCGAAATGAAATCTAGTAGACTTTGATTAGACCGAAAAGAGTTGCCCTTTTTAGAACAAGTGATAATTCATCAAAAAAAAAAACCAATAATTGGGAGAGGAAGGTCAACTGGCAATTAACAATAATAGGTCATCCTTAGAATCAATTCAGAAATCCTCTCTATTATGTTCTCCTTCTTACAGCGGTGCTCCTTTCAATTTTCCATTATAAAAGCAAAAAAAAATTGTCGAATCAGATAATATTTCTATAGGTAAGACATCTCTACCTCAAAATTTTGAAGATATGGGAAAACATACAAACACATCATAAATTTACAAATTTAATGTTTTAAATTATAATCATTCCTGGCTTTTAGGAGATTTTATTTCCCAAGTTTTGAAACTTTTGCAGCATGAAATAGCTTTATCTTGCTTTTAATATCACTCATAAAACAATGACATAATTTAAAACAAAGCAGGACAATTTAAAAAACTTTTCATTCATTGTAAAAATTAAAAACACTACAATTTAAAAACTCACTTTAAAATGTAAAGAAAAATTCAACTTCCTCTAATCACTCAGATGTTACATTTGTAATTTTAAATTAACTGCTAATTATAATAATGACTCCTACCGATCTTTTTATCTACCGATAAACCATCTATCTCATCATCTAAACATCTGTCCACTTCTATGCTTAGCTTGGTCATCCTATTCCATCATCTATACATTTGTCTTCCTTCCTATGTCCATCTTGACCATTTTATCCTAATTTTTACTCATTTGGAATATATATGTTAACCTTATTGTTCCCGTTGAGACTATAATAGACCAGATCCACTTCCCACAATCCAAGATCTCGACATTCCTCCGGTGTTTTACCAGCCGTTTCATCCTCTTCCACCATTATCCACTTATCATCGACTTCTCCTATTTTACAATAATTACAGATTTTTTTTTTATTCCTGAAAAGAACAATACATCAATTTATTAAATATTTGTTAAATTTTTTTGTTGTTGCACGCGTCAAATGGTAAATAACGTGAATTGGTGGTTCGACACAATCAACGATGCATAATAAAATGAATGAATTAACTTTACCATATTTAAAATATCATACAAATAAATGAATCAAATAACAATTCACGAGAAAATCATCAATAAACAAATGAAATTTATTTATAGCTAACCTATAACATTTTTATAGTTTTATAGATTTCTAAATTTTTGTAATAGAAGAAGCAAGTGAGTGGGGGACAAATTTTATGATTAATAAAATAAAATATTGATTGCACAAAGTTGAAATGAAGTAAAAAGCTGTCATAAATAAATAAATACTGCCATAAAATAACAATAAATAAAATATCAAGATAAAAAACTCTTTTTTTATCTTGATATTTATCTTGATATAATAAATAATTGATATTAATATCTTCTTATCTTGATGTAATAAATAAATAATTGATATTATAATATCTTCTTATCAGTTTAAATGCAAAAAATTCTTCGTTACTAATTTTTAAGCCAATTTTATATAATATCGAAATGGTAAAATGAAAAATGGCACTCCAAATTATTATCATAAACGATGATCAATGATTTTGCAATAATTCTAATTCAAGTATTATCATCCACTGCGTACAGTACCACTATCAAAACAACTCAAATTATAATCAACACAAAGTTTTTTTCATTGCTCAGAGCTATTAATAAATATCAAAATGGAATGAAAATTGTTGAATTAGTTAATTCAAAAATTAAAAAAACTAAATAAATAAAAAATCGAATAAGCTAATTTCAGTCAAGTGCCATGAAATATAGAAATTACTTTTGTATCTCTTTTAATAATCCCAAGAGAATATTTAATTCGATGGAACATAACTTTAAATATGGGCAAGCCTGTAATGATAAAAGTTAATTCAGGTTTAAAATAAGGTACATATCCTTTTAGATTAATGATTGAAAATATTTAATACGAAAAGATATGATATGTATAAATTTATAACGAATTAACTAACCATTACTTTCCTTTGCTCATTAAAGCAAAATACATTTGCTTTTAATAAAGTAAACAAATGAACACTGATCAATAGGTTAACAGGTGTCAAGAAACCAAAACATGATATGCTACCATCTTTACACTAAGTAAAGATATTAATGAGACAATTTATGCTAGGAAGAAGAGTTGGACTAATATTTGTGTGTGTATATGTTTATGAGAGTGTGTGTGTGTCTGTGGTGTGAGGTGTGTGGGTGTGGTGTGTATATGGCTAATAAGGATGAATGATAACCGAGAACAGAGGAGACGAATCGTCTCAAATGGCATTTATGATATGAGAAACAAATGCTGTAAGGATCGTCGATGAGATGAGAGCACTTATTCCCTTATATGTTAATAGTTTGACATTACGCAAAATAGGTCGAAATTGAAGGTTTCAGTTTTTAAAATATTTAAGTATGTATTAATATGATCGAAAGTAACATGGAACTTTACACTCGCCATTTATTTTTAATTTCTATTGCTAACATAAAATTATAAACAGCCAGCAATTCGGTCATATAAACAACTTCCGTTATTTGTTGAATACTTCCTCAGATATTACGAACTTCTATTTACTTTTCCCATTAATTGATAAATACACTTCGACCGTGTGTGTTGTGTGTGTGTGTGTGTGTGTGTGTCTTACCAATATTCTTATCATAATTTATCATATAAATAATCATCGGTAACAGGTGGTCTATTACCGATAGTTTCTAATATCATCTTATCATCTCAGGTTTGTAGATAATGAAGAGAAAAAAACATTAATTAACAATTAATTATGATAATTAATTGTTAACATGGACGAAACAGAACATTACTTTTAATAAATAATTCACAGAGAGATAATTAAATACTCCTCAAAATAATTAAATAATATAAAGTAAAGTATAAAATTAAAGTAATGAAGAAAAGGAAAAAAAGAAAAAGAAAGAACATATAATCATATCAGAAGGATTTATCAAGATACCCATAATTTGTCATATTTATAATTTGAATGAGCAATAAAAGACGAAAGAGCAGAAGATAGATTAAAAATCTGAATGAGAATAGTAAGTGCCGAAGGGTTGAACAGACATGAAAACATTCACATGCATATTTCGATAGATAGATGACAACATTCGGACGACGAATACGAAAAATAGGACCAGCATGAAAAGGCAGGCGGCAAAATACGATCGTTACCCGCATCACAGGCACTACCAGTAGCAACCAACACATTATACCTCATCCACCCGTAAAACACCGATTTCTCCCATACACACACACACACACATACATACACACACACATACACACACACACATACACATACATATATCAATAGACTTTGCATGTACTGTTATCAAAAATTGAAGCAAAAATCTCATCAAATTTCAATGTTAAAAATTTACAATGAAATTTTATTATTAAAATCATTGACAAATTTCTCTCCATTCATGCCAATTGTGCTCGTAACAAATGAAATTTACCATTAATTTGAAGTGCATTGAATAATAAACGGTAAAACATAGGGCCCAATCTATATCTAATTGCATTAACATATACAATTAAACATTAAATTTCTCCGGTATTATATAATAAAATATTGAAATGGAACGAAGCTAAAGAATTAACAATTAAAAGTTAAAAGTTAATCATCTCTTATTGGCGAATTCTATTATAAAATTCGGAAATCTAAAGATATACAATTTTAGCAATATCTTATCTTTCGCGATACACTCCATTATCACTTCTTTTTAACGTTCACTAATATTACCTTAATTAGTATCAGCAATTTCATTATCTCAAATATTTCAAGTACAACAAATTATCATGACAATCAAACGGTAATTAAAAATCCGGACAAGCTCCGGAAGTAGGATAGGAATGGAAGGGGATATGCATAAAATTCTAACTTTTAAATATTTGACAATTACAACAGTTTTCCCTTCTTTAATATTTCTTTTTGCTCACATTGAATGTCATACTTTCCTGACACATTCATTTAATTAGATTGATAAACCATTCAAAGTAAAAAGAACTTGCTTTCAAAGTTGTGAAAGATTAGAGTAACATTCTAACCAATACTACCTTACAGATTCGAAAGGTGCATGATGTTTCCGTAAAAAAAAAGAAAGTGTAAATTTCATGTCATTGTCATTTTTCATTTTAATTTATGATGGTGGTATTATGAATAGAATAATATCTATTATTCAATAAAGCCATATCGAACTGATAAATAAATGTAATTGTATTGATTGAGTATTGAAATTAAATTGATTGAAAAAGGACGAACAAACAGAGAGAGAGAAAATGGACTTCAATTATTCGCATTAATTAGAAATGAAGTTATTTCGGTAAAGAAAAAAAGAAAGGAATAAGGCATGAATATCAAATATGTATCTTTTACCGAAAAAGAGCATCCTAAATCCAATTAAAATAAAAGATTGTTCCCCTTCCCCCTCTCAAATCCTGAAAGTATTAATATTAAAGCAAACAAAATTCAAAATCATTTCACAACTGAACCAATTTTGTTCGGTTCATTTTATTTACTTATATCTTTCATTATTCATTATCTCTACAACTGATTAGTCCATTTATAACTAATTTAATCAACGCTTCCAATATCTGATAGTTAGAAATATTAATATGTTATAAATAAGGAATTAAAATGAATGAGAAATGATAAATAGAAAAATTTTTAGCAACAAATACAACAATTCTTCAAATTTATATTTTATCCATTTTTTTCATAAAATTTTTTATAACAAACGATGAGAGAAAAGGAAAAAATCATATGATCATTATGATACAAGTAATTAAAAAGGTTAATTATTTTCTTAATGAATTTTGTATAAATTAATAAAGGGAAACATTATTATGGCTGTCAATTTCTTTAAGTCAAACGACTGCCTAAATTGATTTAGAAATAAAAGAGCTTCAATTAGTTCTTCGAAAAAAATTCCAAATCTTTACCAATTTTTTATTTCAAACAAACAAATATTTTACAAATAAGAGAAAGCTTAAATTTTTATCTTTCTTTTAAACATTCTCATTTTTCTGCCAAAATTCCATTCACAAATTTCAAAGATATTTATACTTAAATCTCTCTCTCTCTTTCACATATTAATCTTTCATGACAACTTTAACAAAAGGTTTCCGTTAACAAATTTTTACAATTGTTTATTATAAAATATCATAAAAATCACTTCCTTTCATTTACCATATCCTATTACTAATTTCTACAACAATACATCTTTCTCTCTCTCTCTCTCTCTCTCTCTCTCTCTCTCTTAAAATTCCAATAAAGAAAAATGAACATTACGAAAGACTAAAGGATATCTTAAAACATAACAACTATTTGTTTATTCATTGGGCAAAAAGAATTATCTCTGAAAAACTGATAAATAAAAAATTAAAAATTGAGTTTAAAAAAGAAGAGAAAAAGAGTAAGAGAGAGAGAGAGAGAGGAAGAAGAAAGAATATGATATAAATAAGAGAGAATGCCATTCCTATTTCTATTGCTATCAAAATCGGCTGGTCGTCGTCATCACCATCGTCGTAAATTACACTAACACTCCGACCACTTATAATAAAAAGAGGAAGAGAGAGAGAGAGAGAGAGAGGAAAAAAACATCTTTTAAAGAGCAATCATTTTCACTATACATAAATATGACAAGGTTACTTTCTTCCTTCCTTCCTTCCTCTCTCTCCCTCTCTCTCTCTTCTTTCCTCCCTTCCTTTCCTTCTACCAACAACCAAATAAAGAAATTGCTTAAATGAAAAAAAAGAAATACATATATCAATTAAAATTAATTTTCATTTTATTATTTGTAATTATTTAATTATCAGGAAACTAACATATAATGTAAGGAAATAAATGA